TGTGCATTATGCAGGTTATTCTCGTATAATTTGCATGGAAATGAGAAAAAACTGAAAAATACATAAAATTGTAATATATTTAAAGATTTTTTGCTTTTTGCAAAAAGTCATTTCGAGCCAAAACTACGAGAGAAAAATCAATTCTAAGTAAAAAATATCGATGAATTAGATCATGTTCACCAAATCAGAACAGATTATTAGAAATGAATTTTCTCTCATAGTTTTGGCTTGAAATGACTTTTTGCAAAAAATCTTGAAATAAGTTACAATTTAACGTATTTTTAAGTTTTTTCCCATTTTCAGGCCAATTATACGAGAATAAGATGCATAATTCACATAAAAATAATCGTGAGACAGTATCCCGTGATTCCCAGTTGCTAGATTGCCCCTACATAGCTTGTGTAAGATGGAGCGAGCTGATTTGTAAACTGGCCCCAAGTTGGAGCCAGTTTTGAAAAATGAGCGTTGCGTTTTTATTAAACGGAAATGCATGACATAATCTGTTCTGATTTAGTGAACGTGATCTAATTCATCGATATTTTTACTTAGAAATAAATTTTCTCTCATAGTTTTGGCTTGAAATGACTTTTTGCAAAAAATCTTGAAATAAGTTACAATTTTACGTATTTTTCAGTTTTTTCTCAGTTTCATGCAAATTATACGAGAATAAGATGCATAATGCACATAGAAATGATCGTGAGACAGTATCCCGTGATTCCCAGTTGCTAGATTGTCCCTGCATAGCTTTTATAAGATGGAGCGAGCTGATTTGTAAACTGGCTCCAACTTGGAGCCAGTTTTGAAAAATGAGTGGTGCGTTTTTATAAAACGGAAATGCAATGCATAATCTGTTCTGATTTAGTGAACGTGATCTAATTCATCGATATTTTTACTTAGAAATAAATTTTCTCTCATAGTATTGGCTTGAAATGACTTTTTGCAAAAAATCTTGAAATAAGTTACAATTTTACGTATTTTTCAGTTTTTACTCATTTTCATACAAATTATACGAATATAAGATGCATAATGCACATAGAAATGATCGTGATACAGTATCCCGTGATTCCCAGTTGCTAGATTGTCCCTACATAGCTTGTGTCAGATGGAGCAAGCTGATTTGTAAACTGGCTCCAAGTTGGAGCCAGTTTTGAAAAATGAGCGGTGCGTTTTTATAAAACGGAAATGCAATGCATAATTTGTTCTGATTTAGAGAACATGATCTAATTCATCGATATTTTTTACTTAGACTTTAATTTTCTCTTATAGTTTTGACTTGAAATGACTTTTTGCAAAAAATCTTGAATTATGTTATAATTTTACATATTTTTCAGTTTTTCCTTATTTTCATGCAGATTATACGAGAATAAGATGCATAATCCACATCAAAATGATCGGGAGACAGTATCTCGTGATTCCCAGTGGCTAGATTGTCCGTTAAACAACTTGTGTTTAATGGTGCGAGCTGATTTGAAAACTGGCTCCAAATTGGAGCCAGTTTTGAAAAATGAGCGGTGCGTTTTTATTAAACAGAAATACAATCCATAATATTTTTGGAATTGATGAACGTGATCAAATTCATCGATATCCATGCTTAGAATTCAATTTACCCGTATAGTTTTGCAAAAATATGACAATATAAACTATATTCAAAAGCCATCTTCTGCAGTACGTCAGTAAGTAAGAAGCCAGTTTTAAAAGCCGGCTTCTTGGTGACTCCAGAAGCCGGCTTCTGTTGTCCTTCAGAAGCCGGTTTTTAAAAGCCGGCTTCTTGTTGACTGTAGAAGCCGGCTTCTGTAGTACGTAAGAAGCCAGTTTGTCAAAGTGGTTTTTGCCTTCGAGTACTTCTGGATCCAGGAGAGCCCAAAATTGAGGATTTTTGAGATCTTTCATCCCAGCTCATATTTCATTTAATTGGGGTCATTAAACTTGTGTACACGTACCTGTGCTAATATCTGCTGTTAAATACAATGCCTATTATGTAATGTATTGACATTAGGTAAATGATTACATGATAACTATCACACTTATTGACAGTTATAACTCTTCCCATCTGATGTGCTCAGATCACAGAATATGCCTCATAATATCAGAGCATGTTTCAAGTGAAACAAAAAGATGCTATGAGAATCAGAATGAGCGTTTTATTACAATCATATATATTGATTAAACACATGGCTTATTCATTCTACGTAATATTCTTCTTGCTGAAACTGATAATTTAACTAAACGAAAACGAAACGAAATTTGAATAAGGAAAGAATAATGAAAAATAGTTGCAAGTATCTCAACTAATGTGAGGTAACTTTCTATATCTATAATGTTACGGAGAATTAATTATTTATATATGTCGATGAGTCAATGTATTTATTTTTGATCACTCGGAATAAAGTATTGTTGTACAATTTTTTCAATTATACGGCCATTTTTAAATTGTTTTTTTATTGTCGTTAAAATAGTGGCTAAAACCTCTAGAATAGCATCAAAGTGGAAGGACAAAACCGGAAGAGTAAATAGATCATAATGTCTAAGGAACCAATACGATGGAATGTACCTCTGGGTTACCTCATCCATACAGTTACACTTACTGCAAGTTTAAAAGTACCTAGAATACATCCATTATATCTAAACATATATTTTTCCTTCATTCTCCGGAAATTTTAAGTTGATTGTCGTATGTATGGGCATTTGTTGTATGGTATATATTGTATTTTCATTTTAAACTTAAGGACTATTGGTGATTGCGTGATTGAGGTTTGTTTTGACAATGTGGCGCAATATGGCTTGATCAACAAACGCAGGGATAAACGCAATTAACATACCATATGTGCTGTTAAAGTTACACTAATTGTAATTATAGAGGTCTGATACCGTATTATCGTATTTTCATTTTGAACAAAATAAGAACGATTGCATGATTGAAGTTTGTTTTGACAATGCGGTACAGTATGGCTTGATCAACAGACGCAGGGATGAACCGACATAGTTGTTTTTGTTTAACACAATAATCGTTTACCTAAATGTATTTATGAATAACTCATCCTCGGCATAACACTTCCAATAACTGTCAAAGTTTCTATGGAAAAAAATATGTAAGAACAATGTTAGAGATTTTGAATTTAATAGTTGGAGACAATCTTTATCAATGAGTATTCAACTTCAAGATTTTAGAACTGTACAGTTGCATGTTGACATTCCTTCTATCTGGTATTACTTAGGACTCAAACATCCCGAACTTAAGCAAAAATGTAATATGATGATTAAGTTGCTATGTGGTATACATAATTTAGAAATTAACATCCATGGTTTACCTAGAGAAAATAGGGAATGTAAGAAATGCAATAATAATTTATTAGAGGATCTTTATCATTTTATTATGGGTTGTGATAATTATGTTGATATCAGAAAGATTATGATTCAAAATTTGATTAAGGAAAATCCTACATTTAAGAAACTTTCATGTGAGGTTTTATATAACATTATTTTAGGCATGGAGTTTCCAATGAAAAATTGGGATAATGTTTTGATTATTTCATGTAAGAATGTCTCAATTATGTACCAAAGAAGATTTTTTAGCTGATTTACCAATATATCCATTGTTATTTTGGGTCTAAATTTTGCTCATTTATACATGTATAATTCATGATATTGTAATTGTCTAATTAGCATAAGGTATAGTGTAAGATTGTTTTAATTGTCAAACTATTCTTCAGTATTGGAGGCTAAATAAATAAATAAATAACCCTAAATAATATATATATTGGATGACATCAAACTTTCTCATTTATTCAATGAACTAGTAAGTCAGCGTCGACTAATATAGTAGCCCGGACAGAATTGTTCAATGGTCACTTTTTCTTTAATAACTTTTTTAATTTTAAGTATTATCATAGTCTGATCACATATTTGAAAACTAGAGTAAAATTCTGACATACATATACGTTTATATTAATATACCTTTATTTATATTTACTTATTTTACATGTTATAATGTCTTGCTTATATCATAATCTATTTTTTGAAAATACTTCTTTATATGATTAAATAGATAAATAACAATAAATATCATTATTTAATATGTACAATGACACGCATGTACAGTCAACAGTTAGAGTTTGGCTAAAAACGTAGCCTACACGTTGATAATCGTTAATCAGTGATCATTAGAGGTTTCGAACAACTGGTTAATGAGCTAAAACATATCATAAACCGCATCTCGTAAAATTAAACTGCTTCACATTAATCTGAGGAATACGTTACGGATTTTAGATACGTTGGGCTAAAAGAGTTGTGCGAAACCTCTCTAGTATATTTTCTGTGGCCCTGGGCATATAGAGGGCCAAGCAAATTCTTTAAAGAAACTACTGGAACTGTTACTATTACAACTATTATTGATAACACAGATAAGTCCATCTACAAAAAGCAATCAATTATTCAAATTTAAATTCATAATATGGAACACGTGTGTAAACACACTGAACACAACCTTATATATACTTCAAATAGGTTGGTTGTATCAAAAATAACACGAGTTTGAAAATAAATAAATACTTTTAACAAAACAATATTAATACAATACAAGTATTGAATGATGTGGATTTGGATATCTGCATATATTTCTTATACGAAGTGAAACGATCGGTCAATACCAAACTTCGATTTAGTATTGCACATTCGAACATGACTGTATTCACGCCTTCTATAAACTGTGAACAAACTCAACATTTCACCCGTGGTATATTCGTCAACACTACCCCTGGTAATACGAGTAATATGTGACGTCATAACGGCGGGCCGAAGCAATGGCCATTAAATGAATATTCGAAAAATGTTGGTGAGTTTTCATATTCGAATTGTAATATAAACCTCAGTGCAGGTCTAATATCGACGAATACATCCCTTAGGGCTTGGCAAAAAAGCTTTCGAACCCCTCGCTCCCTTCGGTCGTTCGGGGTACAGAAAACATTTGTGCCTAGCCCTTCGGGGTGTATACGTATAACACCTACTCTTTGGTCTATATTTCTTATAAATCAAGCATGAGGGGTAGTTACAGCTGCATGACTAGAGGAATTTATATTAGTTAAATTACTGACAGAATCGTGAACTTTATTGTTCATTTGAGCTTTTTGCGCTTTCTTATATGTTATATATGATTTGATGTCACAGACGGCAGTTTTCATGTGAGTGACTATCGTTGGCAGGTCGATGATAAAAATAAACGCAAATACACCAATGATCACAAATAACCATGGCGACCCTATAGTATCTGCATTCTTAGCTTCCTCTGGGGGATACTCCACTCGTTTGGCTCTAACATAAACTTCTACAGGGGCGGGGGTAGTAAAGAATTCTTCTGTTGTGGAGACATATGTTGACGTAGCTTCAGTAGATGCGATTGTTACCACAGTAGTTGTCTCAATTGTTTCTATATATCCAGTAGTCGTCATCGCCGAAGTTGGGTTCTTCGTTGTTTGTATTATTTGTGATGGTCCACCTCGTTCAGCTAACTCACCAGTGCCATCTGGCTTACTGGTTTGTACAGGATCGGGAAGTCTTGTGTAACATTTCGGTATCGGGGCCCACCTACCATATTTAGTGCATACAACTGGCATATTAGGTGACAGATACAAACCATCAGAACACTCATAGAGTATCTGCTCCCCGAGATATGTCGTTCTTGGTTCATGGATGATTGTTGCCTTCTTTACATCTGGAAAGTCACCACAATTCACAAATTTACAATCTTTGACGATGTCCTCAATTGACCACTTTCCACTTAGACGGCATGTAATTTTGTCTACTCCAGCAACCCCGAAGTATCGTGTTGTACATGTGAACTGTGCAACACTGCGGTATAATGTCGAATTATCCAACAACGATACTGCTGCATTTGGCTGGATCCCTTTTGAAGATGAGAAAGAGGTGAACGGGTATGGTGGAGGGGGGCCACAGTTGGGTAGACACTCTGGAGGACTTGATAATGTCCCGTTTGGTAGGCAAGTCATATTGCTTCTCCCGACCATCACTGCTGAGCCTACGCAGCTATAAACTACGATGCTGTCAACTGTCAGATTGACAACGCTTGTTGTAATATTCTCGCTGTCAAGCTTGATAAACTTGTATTTCATATAAGATGTCGCTGGTGTCATAATGATAAGTTCGCTATCAGCACTACCAACATCGCCACCTGAATATTCAGCCTTTATAAAATTAATGTCCCCCATGTTTCCACTTCCGCTAGCCCCACTTCCACTCCATTCAAAAACAGATTCTTCATTACTACCACTACCAAATGTACTATAATTGTATGCCCCCATTGGAGACGTTTCATACGGCATCTCGGTGGTGTATTTGATTTCCTGTTCGCTCCGATCTACATCTATTGAATAGACCTTAAGGAGGATATAAAACGTGGCATTGTAAATAGCAGGGTCGACAGTGCAATATATCTGTTGGCAAGTGGGAGTCTTAGTCCATGAACCATTCTCATTACACACCATAAAATCTTCCTCTGCAATTTCAAATCCATATGCACACGTGTAGTTCTTTATTGAGCCAAAAGTCGTTGTGTCATCCCCTCCATCTTCAATTAGTGGGAATTCCACAGTTGCTTCGCCACAGTCCTTGGGGTTGCATTCAGGGGTCGGAGTCCAAAAGCCTTCTTGTTGACACCAAAGCTCGCTATCTCCCCAAAGGTCATACCCTGGGAAACATAAGTATTCTAGAAGGCTGCCATACATTGTAGTCAAGTCTGCTGTTCCTAAGATTATTTCCTCATAGGTGAACTGTTCATGCGAGGTCGCGTTTCGAACTAAAGCGTTCTTCACCTCTGGTGGACGACCACAGCCAACCATCGAGCAGTTACTATGTCCCTGCCAGTTTCCGTTAATATCACAATACATGGTTCCATTTCCACTGAGCTCATAACCAACAGAACACGAAATATATGCAAATGACCCTACGTAGCTGTCATTCATGTATTCAGCAACGCCACCTGTAATGTTGATCTCTCCACAGTCAATTTGATCACAAAGTGGAAAGTCTTCCCATGTACCATTAGCCGTACAATAGATTGTATCATTTCCCCACATTGTATAACCTGGATCACATACGTACTTGACAGATGACCCATATACCGTTGATGCATTCGGCATTGTGTTCATACCTCCAGATATGTTACTTGAAGGACCACAGTCGTTAATTTCACACACCGGCTGCATTGACCAAGTCCCCGTATCCTCACATAATATTGTCGCATTCCCTTCCATTGTGTACCCGACATGACATTCGTATTCAACCACTGAACCATATGTTGTCATGTTATCCCCAATTGGATGTATGTCTGAGTTATTCACATGAGGCGGATTCTGACAATCTTTGATAATACAGTGAGGAATAGAAGACCAGTTACCAGTCTCATTGCACACAACCAATGGGTCTCCAGTCATACTGAATCCGGGGTCACAGGAATAAAGGAACACGCTCTCATATGTTGTTTCCAACGGAGGGTCGTCTATCAACGCTGTGTCATTTTTCACTGAGGTTGTTTCATTGTGGGTAGTGTTAAATTCAGATCGTATTGCAACAGTTGTATATGTACCATTTTTGATATTATGTGGGGAGTTACAATCCGTTAGATTACAAAATGGTACATTTGTCCAATTACCATTTTCATCACATCGAATGGTATTATTACCAAACATAGTGTATCCAATGTTGCATTCATAAAAGGCAAGTGATTGATATACAGTTGTATTTTCAAATTCAAGTTCAGGTTGGAATGCATTGTCGATTCCTTCGGGATTGCCACAATCTTTGATCTTGCACAATGGTTCAATAGTCCACGATGTATTATACATGCACTCAATCGACTCATTTCCAACCATATCATATCCAGTGTCACAGATATATGTAACAACCGATAAATATGTTGTTGAAAAGTTAGTTGGATATGTAGTTGAGTTATGAACTGTATTAGGAGCGCCACAATCCCTTATTTGGCAATATGGTAAGGATGACCAAAATCCCGTTGAGTTACACTCAACAGTGGTGTTTCCAATGGGATCATAACCCTCGTCACAATAAAATTGATATTGAGCCCCATAATGAGACATCCCGTCATCACTGCCATTGAAATATACTTCAACAGCGGAGTGTAGAATTGTTGTAAAGTTAAATGAACTGTTCGCAACAATTGGTAACTGGCCGCAGTTCATGGGATGACAAGAAGGAAGTACACTCCAATTTCCAGTAGCTAGGCATGTCACAGACCCGTCACTGTCTAGTTCAAAACCTGTATCACATTCAAATTGAATTGTTTGGAAGGCTGTTGTAAATGGATTGTTATCTGTCCTGTGTGCATTAAGTATAGTTACATTTCCACAGTCCTTAATGACACATGTTGGTAAGGAGCTCCACGTGGAATTGGACCGGCAGACAATGGTACCGTCTTCTATGAGAGGTGTTTCGGGTGATTCAGCAGCAAGTACAGCAGGGGTCATAGCATCCTGCACAACTTCAAGATTCATGTCAAAACCAGGATCACATGTAAAAATAACTGCGCTACCATATGTTGTAGAAGGAGATTCCGGTTGGTATGTAGAATTTGACACATTGCCAAATCCACCGCAATCTTTTAGCTGACAATATGGCATGGGAGTCCATGATGCATTGGCGTCACATCTGAATTTCATCTCAACGTTATCTAAATTTTCGTAACCTTCATCACAAGTGAACTGGTATATAGCATTGAATAGTGTTTCATCTGCTTCTCCACTATATGGATAGGGTCCTTCAAGGTTGAGAAAACTATGCATACCATTGTCGATAACAGGAGCTGTTTGACAGTCAAGGGGGCTGCAAGCTGGAAGTTCAGACCACATTGTCGTTTCTAAGCAAACAGATTCGGGATTCCCCGTCATATTAAACCCTGTTATACAAGTGAAATTGACACTCATCCCCTCAATGTGTATTCCATTTGAGTAGTCTTCATTAGCAAATTCTACAATTGGGACAGAACAGTTGGCAATGCACTCTGGCACAACATCTGACCAATTGCCATGTTGCGTACACTGAACGGTTAACTGGGTATAACTAAAGTAATTCAAATCACATTCAAAATATACTATTTCGTTAAATGTGGTCAAATTTGACGAACCATCACTGATCTGACCATATCTAATGCTACCGTTATGAAGATTCCCACAGTCTTTTATTTTACAGTATGGTATGCTTGTCCAATTTGCGTCTCCTTGGCAGATTATGCTATCATTCCCAATGAGTGTATAGCCAGGATTACATGCTAAGTTCCAAGTGTTTTCATATGTTGTTGGTTGTGGCATGCTGGAATTTTCCCATAGTGAGTAGAGTTGGTCACCCAGTGTAGGATATAAACAGTCTCTGGGAATACATGATGGCATGGGTGACTCCCACACTCCATCTGTGCTGCATTCTCTAGTGGCAATACCATCTAGATCGTAGCCATAATGGCAAGCATACGTCAGATTGCTTCCCGGAATGATTTTATGATCTGTTCTTTCTATGAATCCATTTGTTAGGTTCTCACTTGGTCCACAACCTGCGGAAATATTAATTTTAAAACTATTTTTTTGTCAAAATTACAGTTGATATGTTTATATGCACACGCGTCAAAAGAAAAGAACAAAAGATATGACATAATAGCATTGTAAATTTAAAAGTGTTACCATAGTAGCTGACTACTTCAGCTATTGAAAAAACATATGTTACCATACTCAAATCAATTGCAATTCAGATAAGATTCAAACGTTTAAAGACTACATACTTTGAGGACAGTCCTGCAGCTTAAGCCGAACGAGATAGTAGCTGCCTTTAAACGTGTATTTATTTCTTGTGTAGTCACCATCTATCACAATGGCGCCATCTTGTGGTATCATCCCTATTCTTTTGAGTATAATGGGTGGCGATGTTCCATTAGTAATCCCTATTTCTAGTAAAGAAGTGAATTATATGGCTATTATATTACAGGTCTGTTGTTTTTTCATTATAACACCACAAAAATGATAATATGTTTCTCCAAAAGAGCAAATTTAGCTCTCTGGATACTGTTATAATAACTTGTAAAGCATAAATGTTAACTAAAGAAATGTTCGTTAATAGTGCGCTAGAAGGTGATAAGTGCCAAATACAATCCCTAAATGAAAAATGATATCTGTTAAAGACAATTATAGTAATTTGGAATTCTTGGTTGCCTTGAACACCCGTTGTTATATATCATTTCATATACCCTAAGCATTCGAATATTTCCTCATCAGTGACTGAAACATCTGAAATTAAGATGTTAACAAAAATGTGTGACTTTCGTCAAAGACAATTCATAATATGATATTATTAGTTCACCTGCTTCACAATGATATCCTTGGCAACGCAGTTTTTTCTTGTCCTTGGTCAGCTGAATCAAAACTGTGGTAGGGGATGTATCAAAAAGGTACTCTCCATGTTCCAATGGTTTACCAGTGGAATTCCACATGAGCCCTGATACATTTGATTTATGCTGACTCCCGTCAGTCTGTACTGACATCTTAACGTCACTGTAAATCATAAAGTCCTCAAAGTTGAAATCTCTTATTGAATCTAAGTCAACATTTGACAGTAAATCAACTGTGAAATTCTCCGTGCTTTCATCTTCGAAGGTCCACGACTGGTTTGCCACTCCAAACTCCAGCCATACGTCATACGCACCGATATCATCCAATATGTGAACTATACTAACATTGTGCGATTGTACAAGATTTTGGCCAATCAGATTGTATTCTCCGTCTTGGACATAACAAAACTCTAAAACATATGCAATATGATCGATTTAGAAAAACTGGACTTTGGTCAATTGTGATAGTTTTACACCTTCAAGAATAAGGCATTTTATATGCCTGAGAAGCAAAAATGTACGAACTCCAACTTTGCTGAAAATGCGATATTGAAAGATGTATTCGGAAATAATTCATTCGATTCTTATTATGAAATAGATACGACGAAATGAAATACACTTTTAATCAATACCAAATATTTTGAGCTAACCTTCATACGTTGGACACGAAGCTACTTTCTGTTTAACAACATACTTTGTTACATTCCAAGTAAACATATTTCGACTCCAATTATCGTTGAGGGCGCTCGCGCCTAGGTTTACATCAGTCGGGCTGAAGCGTCCTCCCCAAATAAATAAGGGCGATGTTGATGACTCGTTGGCTGGTTTGTTGTTTAGACCACAAGAAGTAGAGCTATGACTAATTGTAGCACATGACACTCTCATTGTGTCATACCCAAGCAAGGTGTTATCGTTGCCAGCATTCATCTTAATATCATAACTTGATACTGGTGAACCTAGACCTGATACAGTAATATAACTCGGGTTAAAGCTGTTATCTGCCTTCAGTCTAAAATCTAAATCAGTATCAACCTCAAGTCCATGTTTTGGTAAATCTATCAGAGTGTTCATATCATTTTGTTCGAGAAAAGTCATTTGCTCAGTATTTTCAGTGGAGTCAATGAAATTCCAACCAGAAATCTGTTGTTTCCCGAATGAAACCCAAACGTCATTATCAATTGTTTCTGCGAAGACATGATGCACTGCTCCACTGTTTCCCTTCATATCAACGAACCCTTTGTAAGAGGTACATATACCTGGAAATTTTACGGTACAAGAAGGAAAACATACTTAGATACATATACAATGACTTAAAGCTTTGTAAAATAATGGATTACCTTTACAATTGATTCAATGAATTTAGTGATACATATTAGTATTAGACAAAAGCATATTAAGGGGAATAGCTTTTTAACAGCTTGAATACCGAAACGATTTCTTATCTTAAGTCTATCATAGAGTGAAGCAATGTATAACAGGCTAACAGCCCTCCCAACCACTCGGGAATCTTGATTTAAAAAATCAAATTATTTCATTCAAATGCTACATGTAGTACTCATAAAATAACATCATACAAACAAAGTCTAATCGAGTGTCAAAACAAGCCACAGGGTGACAGAATCGCACCCTTGAACAGAATACACTTTTCGGGATGGAAAATTCAAAATGGCCACCTTAATATTTACCCAGAATGCCTAAAAACGAATCAGTTCTAAACTTTCAATAGAAACATCTCTAAAATTTTAGGATGAATCCATTAAACCTGTAAACAACCCTCAAGAGACACGTTTTAAGGTATTACTTCAAAGGGTATCAGCTTTTTTTTCTACAATTCAGATTTTCCTGAAAGAAATCCTGGTAAAAGATATACTGATGTTTTACAAAATATGTGAAAATTGGAAAGATTGACCGTTTAGTTATTTCTAAAACAATGTTTTAATTTAACTTTGCTCTCAATGGAAAATTATTTTTTATTTTTTAAAACAAGCCTTCACAGACACGATTTTAGGACGAAAAATCCAAAATGGCCACCTTAACATTTTCCAAGAATGCCGAAAAACTAATCAGTTCTAAACTTTTATAGGTAGAAACATCCCTGAGAATTTCAAATGAATCCCTCAAACGGTTTGGCTGGAAACCTGTAGACAAGCCTTGACAGACAATATTTTAGGACGGAAAATCCAAAATGGCGGTCTTAACATTTATCCAGAATGTCGAAAAACTAATCAGTTCTAAACTTTTATAGGTAGAAACATCCCTGAGAATTTCAAATGAATCCCTCAAACGGTTTGGCTGTTTGGCTGGAGACTGTAGACAAGCCTTGACAGACAAGAATTTAGGACGGAAAATCCAAAATGGCCGCCTTAACATTTACCCAGAATGCCAAAAAAACTAATCATTTCTAAACTTTCATACTCAGAAACATCCATGAGAATTTCAGATTAATCCCTCAAACGGTTTGGCTGGAAACCTGTAGACCGGCAAACTGATTACAATATAGCACCTTAGGGTGCGATAATAAAAATATTAAGAAGGGGTACCTTGTTGAGTATAACAACTTGGAACACCTATGCCTACGTCATCATCGCTATAGCAACAGCCAATTAGCAAACACTGACTGCTGTCAATGTCTGGCCATCCACATATAACTCGCAACTCTGGTGGCGTTCGGCATTTTGGTGCACCATCTTCTGCCATCTTTGTTGCATGGGTCTCTATTGCACCTGGCAATCAAAATAAATTTAATATTTATGTATTTGTCATATTATTTATTAATTCAAATAAACTGACAAATTTCTTTTGAATATTTCTATAATAACAGTAAATACAAAATATTTACTAGTGCGCTATGCTGTGGTATGTTATGTTTGTTACGTTACGTTACGTTACGTTACGTTACGTAATGTTATGATATGTTATGTAATGTTATGTTTGCCATTTTATGTTATGTTATATTATGTTATGTTATGTAATGTTATGTTTTTTATGTTATGTTATGTTATTTCATGCTATGTTTGTTATGCTATGTTATGTTGTGTTATGTTCGTTATGTTATGTTATGCTTTGCTATGTTATGTTATATTATGTTATGTTTGTTATGTTTGTCATGTTATGTTATGTTATGCTATGTTATATTATGTTATGTGATATTTTGTTGTGGTACATTATGTTATGTTTGTCATGTTATGCTTTGTTATGTTGTGTTATATTATGTTTGTTATGTAAGGTTATGCTTTGGTATGTTATGTTATGTTATGTTTTTACTACTTTATGTTATTTTACAGGGTGGGCCAAAAAAACCAATACCCAACTTCAAATCAGGATAAAAATAGTTACATTCAATATGGTACAATGACTTACATATCATTTTAAAGGTTATACAATTTCAAACAATTTGGTATATAACACTATGTCATGAAATCAATAGTAAAGTTTTATTATACTTATTTGGGAGGCCGGGTTGCTATTTAAGGTCTCCAGATTTAAGGGAGAAAATAGTAAATCTGTGGAATTATGTTAATTTTTTATTTATAGAATATCATTCTTTCGTTAGGTGAATACATGCTTGGATATTGATATTTGCATCATTGTGTGACTAAATTTATTGTTTATTAATTTCAGTGTTGTTTATAACATTTTACACGTTATTCATTTAAACAATTTTAACAATTGCTCAATATACCCCAACCCCCTCCCCTCTGCATCAACAATATAAGCTTCAAGCGATAGCGCAATCTATCAATAGCCTTATTGAGAGATTTTTGTTACAATTCATTTCAGCACTTTAGGATCATGTTTCAGCTCATCAATGCTGTTTATTGGATGCTTGTGATTGTACCATTTCCTCGAGATGGCTCCATGTATGGTAATCAAACACATTAGCATCGGGGCTGTTGGGTGGCCAAGCATCGAGATCAATCAAATTGACACCTTGTTTGCAAAGAAATGCCAATGTCTCCTTTGATCTATGGTACGAGGCAATGTCTTGTTGGAAAATGAAATCTCTATTTCACATATACGTTTAATGTCTTTTAACAGACCCCCTTTGAGTAGTTATTGATATTAAACAACACTTAAATTCATAAACAATAAGTTTAGTCACACAATATACAAATATACAAGCATGAATTCACCTATCAAAATGATATTCTATAAATAAGAAATTAACATTATTCCGCAGATTTACTTTTTTCTCCCTTAAATCTGGATGCCTTAAATACAGACCCGGCCTCCCAAATAAGCATAATAAAACTTTAATATTGATTTCATGACATAGTGTTACATACAAAATTGTTCGAAAATGAATGACCTTTAAAATGATATATAAATCAATGTATCATATTGAACATAGCTATTTTCTTTCTGATTTAAAGTTGGGTATTGGTTTTTTTTGGCCCACCCTGTATATTATGTTATATTGTGTTATGTTATGTTTTGTTTGTTATGTAATCTTATTTTATGTTTCTATGTTGTGTTATGTTAGGTTATGTTATGTTATATTATGTTATATTTTGTTATATTTTGTTATGTTATATAATGTTCTGTTGTGTTATGTTAGGTTATGTTATGTTAGGTTATGTTATGTTTGTTAAGTTATGTTATATTATGTTATATTTTGTTATGTTATATTATGTTATATTGTGTTGTATCATGTTATATTATGTTATGTTAAGCTTTGTTATGTTGTGTTATATTATGTTTGTTATGTTATGTTATGCTTTGGTATGTAATGTTATCTTATGTTATGTTATGCTTTGTTATGTTATGTTATGTTTGTTATGATATGTTATATTTTGTTATGTTATATTATGTTATATTTGTTATGTTTGTCATGTTATGTTATGTTATGCTTTGTTGTGTTGTGTTATGTTATATTATGTTATTCATGCTTTTTATATTATGTTATGCTTTGTTATGTTATGTTTGTTTTGTTATGTTATATTTTGTTATGTTATGTTATATTATGTTATGTTTGTTATGTTTGTCATGTTATGTTATGTTATGCTATGTTATATTATGTTATGTGATATTTTGTTGTGGTACATTATGTTATGTTTGTCATGTTATGCTTTGTTATGTTGTGTTATATTATGTTTGTTATGTAAGGTTATGCTTTGGTATGTTATGTTATGTTATATAATGTTATGTTATGTTATGCTTTGTTATGTTATGTTATGTTTGTCATGCTATGTTATGTTATGTTTGTTATGTTATGTTATGTCAATTCTTTTAAATAATCTACCATTAATTCCATTGTATTGCTATTTACATGTTAGTGGGGTTTAATGTTGTAATGTTTTAATGTTTTAATGTTGTGATGTTGATATGTTTTGAATTAATCATAATAATTATCTGAAATATCGTGTTGAATAGACAATTTGAATTTGGCCAGAGCTCTGAGCAAAACTTCTCGAGTATTGGCACTGACTGATTGTTTCTGATACCTGTTTCTTGGCATATGAAGGGGAAGGTGCTAACAGAATCCTGACGAGACATCTGCCTTGTTTTAGCACGTTCAAACCTAAATACAAAGTTGTTTTTTTCATCAAGAGATTTTATTGCCATTTATCATTAAAAGTACATATCATACATGAGGGACCCAATCGCCAGTGGCATTATAGGTGTCCCTCAATGTAGTAATTACAAAGATAAAAGATATAAACTTAAAAAATATGTTTCCCAGGATGTACGTATACGTGCATCAAGGCAATAGCACCAAAGCAGAAGTGTATTTTTAATGGTTTTATTGTCATTAGACGATATGGACAGTGACATTGAAGTAATACTTTTATTTGACACAGTGCCATCTGACATTTGCCCAACATACACTGACAATTAGACGACATGATTTAATCACAAAGCAGTCAGTTAAATACATGTTGAAGACAAAATATTGCAAATAATACTACATTTAGTGTCAATCCAAGAAACGCTGGGCTCAAATGGTACGGAATGGTCAAAACCCGGTCTCATAATCGATTAATCAATTAAATCAAACAAATCAATTAAATCAAACAAATTATTGAATACTTACACATAGCTACCACCACTATTTGAACTGTCAATATGAGCAAATTGGAATGCAGCTTCGGGAGAAGTCTGGTCACTCGACCACAATGGGCCTATACAAAATACAACATAATTATAAAATACTGATTTTCTTGCATTTAAACGTTCAAAAATAGTTACAGTTGATTTTTATATAAAAAATAATACTTAATGTCTACAAATGTATTTTATAATTGAATATACCCCCTGGGTTGTTTTTTTAAATATTTATCAATATCCTACCAGAGGATGCCTCAGAATAGTCTAGGCCAATCCAATATTTGTTGGCTGGACCCAAAAGGGGCATGATTTCGATAAGCAATTCTTCATCGCCAATTTCAGCCAATCTGCCACCCATTTTCTCACATTTGAATGCAGCGTCTGTTTTCATTGTAGATTCATGAGAAATGTAAACACAGTTGGTATGGTTACCAAGATACGTCCAACTTGGTGAGTCACACGGTGATGTTACTGAAATGAAATGAAACACAAAAAGAGTCTAGCCCTTTAAAGTAGAACGGATCATTATTCAATCTAAGCTGAGATTTATTTTTATCCAAAATCAAAACTCTATGTATTTTTTTTATATATTAACTAAGTTGATCTTATTATATATGAAAATATTTATATGATGAAATAAATTGTTAATCTATAAAAAATTGAATTACCCGGATATACATTGACTGTCTCTAGCTATTTTTTCTCAACGGTAATTTTTATATAACTAAAGTGATCTCGCTGAATTACCTGGGCATGTCTTGACATTAACAATGTGTCCATCAGCTTCGATGGATTCTTCAATAGCAATACTATACAGTAAATAACATGTGTTTCCAGACTCGATGAATTGGGTGCCAACACATTCAGTATTATCCAGGCACGCATTATTGCATTCATCATAATCACTGGTGGTCATAGTAAGGTATGAAAGTGTATTCAGCACAATCCCTGTATGTTTTTCTAGGTAACATTCATCTGAGTAAAAGATAAAATAAATAATCTTTTAAAGTCACATTTATATGATAAATAAGAAACGAATTTATTAATATAATATTTGTATAATATAATTATTGTATAATAATATTTACAATACTTCATCTTGTATTTCTTGTTAATTTATTAACCATAACTAATGTTCAAACTAGCTGTATGATAGCAATATAGTTCAAACTATTAGTACAATGAACACAAATAATTTGTCACGGTGTTTCTATAGTAAACTTAGTGAAGCAAGCATTTAATTTGCTTAATAATTGAAATAGTGAATCGGCGATGTGTTTTCATATTGACTGTTCTCATGTGTTGTAAATTAAAAGACTAGTCTCGGTTTGGAGAACGAAGTTCATCAGTCTACTGCACGTTATGCTTGCTTTGAACAATTTTGATATTTTTACATCTCGTATTGTAGATTAAAATGGCCTCTTTTGAATATCCCACTCGATTTGAGTGTTATTTCTTTCTCATAAAGAATTATAAGCGCAGTAGACTAATGAACTTCGTTCTCCAAACCGAGACTTGTCTTTTATTGAATCGATCTACTGCACGTTTCGCCTGCTTCGGACAATTTTGATAGTTTTACATATTGTAGATTCAAATGTCCTCTATTGAATATTCAAAACTTAATCTTGGTTATATTAGCCAAGTAGGCTGTTCTCTTAACCGAAACTTGTCTTTTCCGAACTTTTCTAATTAAGAAATACTGACACGCTTTGATATGGCATCGAGTGAAAACGTACGGTTGCCCAACTTATGCAAGAGAGTGTACTATATAATATGGTTATTAGCAAGAATGCTACCTAGTTACGCTTATATACGACACCCATCCAGGATTGTACCTTTTTGTATAATATAAAAAAATAAAATGACCAACAATTTACATATAACAAACGCATCTTCGTGTAATTGGCTGCAATGAGCGTGCGTGAGAAAGGCTAACAAAATGGAAACAGAAACTATAAATATGTTGAATGAGTGTCGAATTGGCAAATATTGTAATGTTGTCACATTGACAACAGCCACGGTAAATCTTTTGCATTTAATGTAATATGCTGGAAAGAATAGATATATAAAAAATGCAAACTTACTTGGGCTACAAATGACATTTGCGTACTGTACACATGTTGTAACAGGTTCAAAGTTACATTCTCCCAACATATCCTCGTTTCCCTGGCAGGAGAAGTGGTCAAACTTGTATGGCGACTGCTGTGGGTGGAAAAGGCCATATGAGGGGTTCACATATGGAAAATAGTGTCCACCCCTCAGACCCATCTCGTTGCATATAAGCTTTAAAATTACAGAATGATAATTAAAGTTATTATTTAAAAAAAACTTTTTATTGATTATATAGAGTTCAAACGAATTTATGATTTATGCTTATCAATTTCAGAGTTGGTCTGTAGTCATAACACATTGTACTTTAAATAAAATAATTATAAATAAAAAATTAGGTATTCGCAATTAATATTAAATTTACTTCTGCATGTGTGTTGTTCAAGTAACCATCGCACACAGGGGACCAGGTATCTAAATTATCTTGGAATAACTGCTTGTTTTCACCATTTAGGTCATACTCAGGGCGTCCTTTTAACATCACCAACCCCCACCAGGGGAAACCCCTGCCCCCTTTGAGGGTCACCTCATAAGGTATTACTAAAAACAGAACAGAACAACCATTTATTGAGAATACCTATACGAAAAAGTACATGTCAAGACTAAAAGTATCAACTTTTGTTAAAAGACACATATACAGGGTCAGTCCGCATGTCTTTGACAGTAATTCACAAAGATATATAGACAGTATTCGTCCAGTGACTTATAGGGAGGCAAGGGACAATGGTACCATCCTTATCATTACAAAGTGACCAGATCACTGGACTGGGTCCAAAAATGCTTATGATTTACCCAATACCAGCATACTTTGATACATTGTTTCTTTTCTTCAGGGACATCCCAACGAAGATTGATTTATTAAGAGTTATAAAGAGCCCCCCCCCCCACATTCCAAGCTTTGATGTAACGTACAAACCAATAATAAAAACTCCCCTTTCAATCGTACAGGACTCATTGATTTAATCAAAAATGACAAAACAATGGGACACTTAATTCAAACTGAAGTAATGAGTGTTACGCGGTATATGGCATACATTTATGGTTGCGCGGTATTTGTGATACAAGTGAATACGGCTTACTCACCTGCGGTATCTGACATATTCCGCAAGTGAGTATAATATGTTCCGTATTTAAATATGATATAGTGATTACCTGATATTCACCTGCGTAATATGACATATTCACTCAGAGAATATGACATACGCGTTGCGGAATATGACATTTGTCGCGCGTTGAACGCCATACAAAATTGCCTCGATTTGATTGGTTTAGAGAATCAACACTAAATGTAAAACTATAACGGATTACCATTGTTTTTATCGCATCGAGCACTTAACTATGAATCCTGGAGTGATTAAGTTTATTACGTGTGGTTGGTAAATTATACTTCTGAAAGTATCAGTAACGCATTAACCACTATCAAATACTCGTGTTTTCAGGTTTTTATCTGATCTTTGTAAACTGTTGAATCTGTTGCAAAAGTATACCATAAGCTTCACGAACGTGGGTTCGTTTATTTATGTGTAATGGAGTGAATACAATGGTTATTCCGTCAGCCTTCGGTTGATTTCGCGAATGATTCCCAAGCAACACTTTGCTACCTGGTTGAGCAGACTGTATATATGACGTCATAAGCAGTCCAAGCAAAAGAGAATTATTCATTTAATTTTGAATAGTAAAATCTTTCAAATTTTTCCTTGTTTTTTTCTTTTATTGGTTATGTACCATTTCTGCATTCCAAATCGCTTATCGAAAGCATACTGGTTTGCGATGTCGGCGAGATAATTTCTACATGAAAACCAGACACTGGGAGATCGTCATTGTTCTGCACAGCCCCAGATTCAACATACCGAACACCAGAAGAATTATCACACTTGCATTTTCCGCCGCCTGGACCTTAACAAACAAAACTCTGAAGTTAATATTTTACTGTAAACCACGAAATCGAAGATTCAGTTTGGTTGATAAATCGAAACAAGAACAATGAAGATAATTCTGTCAATTCACAATAACGTGTAATTTCTGCATGTAGTTTGATGTTCATTTATTCCAAGAAATTAGAATTAGGGCTACTTATTATGTTTCATGATCTAGCAAAAACGTGAGTCTCAACGTGTATATAATGGGGTTATATTTTACCAGTGTACAACTACCTTAAACTAATAGAATATCTTTACAATCACAACAAATACTCACAACTATCATCTAATCCACAACCGCAAGTATTATTCTGTGGCGAGCCATTACCCCAATAGCTCATTTGCCGAGAATCATGGGATATCCACCATACCCTCTGTGTGTCAGAAGTATCCCATATCACAATATCGGAACAATAGAAAAGCATCTCTTGTTGACATGTTTCCGAATTTTCTACTAACGCTCTTAATTGGTCGATTGTGATGTCATCATAACTAATGACATGGTCAATTACTGTTTGACTTGAAGTTACGGGAACGGAAAATATATCATTTGTTGGCGTTACTTTTGCAATAGGCGCTGTTCCTCCAACCATTTCCATATTGGTACACATAACCTGAAGATATATGATTTGTTTATCTAGACATGATTCGAAAGTGCCCACGAACATATCATTGATATGATAGATTGATATTATATGTTGAGAACATGTGTTGTCCTAAATTCCTGCTAACGGTGAAGATAAAAAGTACTTTTGACTTGAAATTCACTGTTCACTGCCAGTTGGGATTGTAGTAGTTGAATGGCAACATTACTTAAAGTTGTACTAAATCCATAATAAATAAATATAATAATAATAATAGCACAAATAGTATTCCTTTTGTTATGTTGACTTCAAAGCTTGTGATATTTCCCCACACAACACACTGTCAACCTCGTTTCTGGCGCTACATCAAAAAGTTGTTGTTGCAAATTACTACGAAGGCTTACTTAAAGAGGAAAACATTAGTTTCACATTCACAAGCATTCTAATAGCCAAATAAATATTTTAAGTTGATTGAACTTCACAAAATAAATTTTTGAGGAAAGAGCACTGCAATATTATTCATTACATATTCAACTGTTCAAGGAATTGATTGAAATGCATTTTATGAAACCATATATCGATAACTGAAAATATTAACCCAATAATTATTATATTTTGGCATTACAGCATTACATCCGGGTTGAACATTTTTGATCCCCAAACACTGGCAATGTTTGCATTTGTATAACTTACATGCTTTCAATAGTGTTTCAGCTCGACTGATTCTGCACTCAAGTGCACGTGATATTATACCCTTTTCAAAATTGATGAGAAGAGCCTCAATCATGCAATAATTGGCTCAACATAAGAGTGAATAACTCGATTTTGAAAGCCAGGGTTTCATTTTTATCTACAAAATCGTATTTCGCGGCAAATTGTTTCAACCACACACGTCATGTCACGTTGCGTATAATGTCTGCTCTGAAAATGAAATCCCGATATCATGATAAAATTATTTTTTGGAATTGTTGATGGTTAACTACCGCAAAGTGTGGCTTTCATACGGTATCTACATGTCTACACGAACTTAACCTGTAAACATTAAATGTTGAGTACATAGGGGTATATAATAAAACAACTTGTGACATCCACATTTTCGGGAAATTACATGTACAGTAAAAAAACATGTCAGTGGACGTGATATTCCCGGGAGAACATTTCCCTTGATATCGCAAACTTTGAAATGATACGGATAAGCTGAGATTTAATAGAATTCTATAAAAATTGATGGTGTAATTAAGATAATACAAATTCGGATGCTCACCCGAAACGGTTCTAAAATACCATCTCCATCTGGGTCTATAACATATATCTGGTCATCAATGTAGCCCTGAAGATGCCATTCATAACAACTCCGCTTAGCTAAAAAATAATTATTAACATATACGCAGATTTTACTCTTTCAAATGCGTTGCCAAAATGATGCCAGTTTTATGAGGAACGTGATTCGTCACATAATGTATATCAATTTAAATTATCATTTCATTGGAAAATGTTCTTTGGTTATTATTTTCATATATCCGTATTTTCTCAGAGATTTAACTTACCCTTTACATAGTACACAAGTGGACGTTGGGTTGGGGTTGTTGTTATACATGCAACACTTTTAAGCCAGCATTTCGTCTCTGTGACAGAACCATCAATGAACTCAAAAAGGAATCCCAAACATTGAGATTCAATGTTGCATAAGTCAACACACTCGTCAAATGTATGGGGAACTCCACCATTGTAACCGGGCATATCGGAGCCGGAGCAATCCTGGCGTTCTTCACTGCGCTTGTAACCAGCTGCCTCATATGCTAAAACAGAAAAACATTAGGCCTCTTAGACTTCCACTAACGCGATCATCAGTTCCAATCTCGCGAACTATGTTCTTTCCACCCAAACCACGGTTTTCAAAACGCGAATATCAATTCTTTAGTCGCGAACCACAAATACTTTTTTCCCGAACATATTTCTCCACTTGCGAACGGAGTTCCCACTTGCAAACCACAAAGCAATGTGGTTCGGGATGTGGGAATCCTCCATAATTCATTAATATCCAAATTTAATTCTCTATCTTAAAGACTCTATCTGAATGTGACAAGGGAATGACACTTGCTTTAATAGGCCCTAGTGTTTATCATCTACGTTTTTATAAATTCATAATGAACACATTATTGAAGCATTTTTATTTTATTTCTTATTATCAAGGCTATTATTTTCAGTGAATACCTGTGACACTTTCACAAAAAAGATGTGAAAGATACACAGGTATTCACCTCAATAGAATTAGATATTTATATAACATTTGATTTAGTAATTAAGTCCTCGTATGCAAAGTCAATGCAAAGAATAAAATATTAAACTTACACGTTTCACATAAACTACCATTCGTGTAAATGGGACAGTCACAAGTAAATTGCGCAAGCAGGTTATTACACGTTCCACCATTTTGGCATGGGGAACTGGAACACTCATCAATATCTGAAAAAAATAAACTGTCCTTAAGCTCATTAGTTCAAAAATTCGAAATTGCAACTCCGGTGTAACATAGCAAATCCACTATCATGTTCCTTCCCGAAGTATTGGTGTATTCGTTTTGAGGATTTGGGCTAGCTAGGTATTTATACAATTCATGTAGCAACATGGAGGCGATCTAAATCAGGGACACATAAACTCTTCTACCTATTTTGTATCGATTGAAACATTTTTGTCTTTCTAAACTTCTGATTTGTATCACATTATGCCTGGGTCACATATGCTCCGATCCATCGGCCGGCGCCCGGCCGATTGAGTGTTTTGTTCAATATTGTATTCAATTTTGAACAAAATACTCAATCGGCCGGGCGCCGTAGTGATAATCGGAGCCTATGTGACCAAGGCATTAGTTGTTAAAAAATATGATACATTGTATAATGCAGGCATTTCTGAAAACCTCAGAACACAAAGCAAAACTGAAGTGTGTTTTAAACAGTATTGCATTTCATAAAGTAATTACATTCTAACATTCAAGCCAAATTCTTATTAGTCTGAGACATATTTGTATACGAGGTTTCTTAGACGGTGTACGCCATGTATATCCATACAAAATTAAATAAAATATTGGTACCGCATACCAGTATCGTACCTGTTTCGCAGTTGACACCAGTATATCCGGGAAAGCATGTACATGCGTAGATAGAAGGGGTCTGGTAGTGTGACGTACAATTACCGTCATTTTGACATGGCTGTGGGTGACAACTACCTACGAACTTACAGATGCTGTCAAGGCTGGTGTTTGAATGGCTCACCCAGCTACAAAGAAGATATTTTCTGTACTTTTCTATTTCTTCATATGATGGCTATATCAAAGATTGTCAAAATTTAATTAATTTGAATGTGAAATAGCTACTAGTTATTTGGACAGAACTTGATAGATGATAATTTTGTAAACAACAAGTTCATAGTTCGATTACGTGTGCAGGAGAAACAGTGATTTTGGTAAAACTTGATGGCGGAATGACAACTTGTGTACTGCAATTGATATGGAAAAGCCCATACCTGTAATCCTCTTTACAAATTAAGAAATCTGTTTCATCTTCCATTGCATAATATTGATTACACGTCATATTTGGTGCAGTTGTAATGTCATTATTAAACGGTACAGTGGTATTCTCTATTTTTTGAGACACGTCAGCTTGTGCAACGGATGGTAAGTAGTAACAACCTAAAATAAAAAGGTTGTGGTCACCATATATTGGTTCAGGTACATGAATAATGAATAAGGTGAATTAAAAAAATTAACAGGCTTCTTTAAGATTATTTGACACTTAGGCCTACTGTTCAGCCTTTGTCTCTGAAAATCGAGTGGAGTCCCAAAATTCTCTTTCTAGAATTAATCACATATTACAGCAGTAAATGGGATATCCCATACATAATGATTTAAGAAGTACTATGAAGACTACGCTGATGAATCTCTAATTTAATGGGCATAATTTTTGGAAAAAATATGTTGCGGAGATATTTGACTCTATTGCGAAGTAATATGTCGAGTGAATAACACCGTTAATATGACAAAACATTGAGTATAAATTGAGATTTAGCAGAAGTTTTAAAATGAACCATGCAATGACCATATTCACATAGAAAGTGAGTTCCCACTGTGGTAACAAAATGGAGTAGCTTCGAATGTACGATTTTCTTTTTCCATGATTCCATGATTGACTTCCCACGTTTGTGAATGCAGAGTGCACGAGACTCCTGGGCCATCGATTGAATTCAGCACTTATGTTACGTCGAATTTTTGTTGCCCGATTTAAAGCAAAAACATTGACTTTTGCACGTTGTTGATGATGCACCTGTCTTAATAGATCTCATATCTTAGAAGGGTATCAGTTAAAAAACATACTAGATGGCCTAACATAATTTGCCATGCACTGTGCCTATTCATTTGGCAATTCAGTTGTAAATTTTCTCTTGAAAAAATAAACCTTCCAAATTTTTCTTGCCGAAATCGCCTACTCCTCCTCCATCCATTTTGTACGATCACCGGGCGTGACGGTGGGGATTCGTTAGATCACTCTGGAATGACATGAACTGTTCGTTCGCAAACAATTCGATTTCCTCATACATATGAGTGGTTGTTAAGATTCTGCCTGCAACTCATGAAATCATGAGAAAAGAAACATCATTCACGATTTGTTACCGAAACGGATTCGTAACCACTTTGAAAAGTTCCACCACAGTGGGTACATATGTATGAAAAAGAGGTTTGTCATACGAAGTCCTCGTAACAGAAAGTGATCCCCATTTGATTTGAATCTCCTAGCCTTGTCATCTCAAAAAGTATATTTACAACCGAATACCTTTTTGTAAAAACAGAGCTTCGTACATAGTAAAACATAAAGGCATGCAATCGTTTCAGTAATGTAAAGTATACATAAAGATTTGATTGCATTGAACATTGTAACAGTAAGCGCAACTATCAAAGTGACAGAGACTGCCAAGTATTTAGAACACAATAAGAAAGCCAAAATGCAGAATACTAAAGAACAAGAAGACCTAAAAAAGCTTTGACAGAAAACCAATGCCGATAATTCAAAGGATGGAAATGTTGGAGCTTTGGACATGTCTTCTAAAGCATGAAGTGCTAGCTCTATCTACTTGATAGATAAGTATCAAAAATGATTGGAATTACCTGAGCAATACTGCACTGCGCATGGAGAAAACACTGGCTTTGGTGGCGAAAGCGAATAATCTAACTGCGTTACACAGTTTGGTACACTCAATACATCTCCCGTAATCTGACGACAAAAATTCGATGCCTGGAAAATTAGGCGATGTTTTATGTCAGATACGAGTATTATTTCTCTAGAATATTTTAAAACAATATATTTACATGAAAACTTAGTGTATTGGTGTCCCAACATATGATACCATCTTACATTTCACCTGTCAATAATATTTATTATGAAATAATAGAACAATCAAAAATAGCTTTACGGAAAGGGGATATTAGACATTGTTTCTTTTCACGTTAGATCATGGTTTTGGGCTATATGGGGTTTGTTTTTCTTGACTGGTATGCACTTAGAGTTTGCTTTTGCTTACTAAGTTCCATTACAACTTTTAGTTCTTTCCCTTTGGCACTAGTGCTTATATATTTACATAGACGTCAGACATGACCATATGAAGACAGTTCTTCTTTAATTTTTTTTATATATACGAGGGGTGATCCAAAAGTCTTGGACGCCACGCTCTAACTTTGCTATTTTCTAATATAATTACATGAAACTTTCAGATAATAAAGATCAACATCTTAACAACTTTGTGTATAAGTTTCAACAGAAAATAATATATTTTAGCTACTTTTCTAAATAGTTTTTAATACCGGGTCGCAGCCACCCGGAACGGTATTTGAATATAGTAAATCACGTCACAACTGTTATAATATGGCAAATACTTTAGGTGCAGGTGCATAACCTTACACCATTCATGGTATGAGAGAATTTCCGATTTTCAATCTGAGTGTCATCTACCATCATCATTTTCACGTATTAAGACCTACTTTTCAACATATTTTCCACGAATTTGAACACATTTTTCATACCGCTTTACCAATGAATGAAAGACATTTATGAAACCGCCATTGCTTATGTGATACAAATGCTGCTGGAGTGCCACTCTAAACCTCATCCAATGAGTAAAAAACATTTTCTTCCAACCCTTCTTTCAACTTCAGAAATGGAAGAAAATCGCACAGAGCCATATCTAGACTATATCGTGCATATGGTAGCTGCTCAAGGTCAATAAAAGTGAGAATATCTTGTAGTATACTTTGTTCCACTTTGATTTCTTTCATGTTCTCCATTTCAGCAGCCATCTTGGAGCAAAAATGATACCAGAATGAGGGTTGCTTGTCTGATGTCATTTTCTTAGAATTTGACATATACAGCCATTGTCATATATGCCATGATATTCAAAACACAATTAATTGATTGCCTAATAACAAAGGAAGTAAACTAACATGGTTTAACATTCAAAATTCAAAGAAAGATAGTGGTCAAGACTTGTGAAACAAGTGAAATGGCGGGAACATTTAAGGCTGAAAGTTGTCATGTGCGTATACCGTTCCGGGTGGCAGGGTCCCTACATTAAAAACTATCTAGAAAACTACATCAAATATATAATTTCTCCATGAAATTAACACACAAAGTAGTTTGGTTGTTGGTCTTTATTATTGGAAAGTTTAAAGTAATTTTATCAAAAACCAACAAAATTAGAGCAGGGCGTCCAAGACTTTTGGATCACCCCTCGTATATGAAGAAAGTTCTATGTATGCTGGGACATTGGACACTTACCACTGAAAAGTTTCTATATAGTAATGATTACTGTACCAAAATAGCCAATAAAATATATAATAAATAACAATTAAATATTTTATTATGACTCTGCCATTTCCTATTTCATGACTTTTATATTTGGAATAGAATAGACATATACACTTGATAAATTGATATTTGTTATCTACTACATATTTGATTCGATTACTTACTTACCTCATTTACTGTTCGGTCTGGAAATAAACTATGGCTAATATTGTCGAAGGAGGCTAGCAGATCGTCCCATCTATATGTACAAGATTCACCCGTCTGTGTTACATTTAAAGTTCCTGTGTAGTCAAAACCTGTGCTATTATCTCTACATTCCTTACGGTCTGGAACATCTGGAAGGAATAATTAAATTTAAATTCAAAAATGTTAAAATGTACAAATGTAGTCTTCCTTGGCTTTCAACTCCGGAAATCACGTGTTCGCCTGAAGAAGTTACAGAAACATCTAGTTTTGGATATCTAAACTGTATGGACGTAGCGTGTATAGAGAATCTGGAATTCTCTCAGGAGAATTTATGAAATAAATCTTATAGTAAGTATTTTGTTGGGAATGTTCTATTGTATTCCTATTTAGGAATAACAGATCAATGTCTGGGAATGCTTGCTCATTATCCATGGTTTCTGAGATTAATTCCAACACACAAATGGTACTTACAAGGTATATTTCTTATTGAAGCAGTTCTCTCACATATATATCCATCCACATTACTTGTACATTGCTCATCGAGCGACCAGAGTGTGGAAGATAAAACGCCACAAGTGTCAGGGTCACTGAGGCTAGTAAAGTCATCTGGATCCATACTAAAATTAGTTGATTAGAAACCATGAATTTTATTTTGAGGGAAATAATCATTTGAGAAACAAACGCATGTGTTTAACTTCAAATACCCTGCTGATTTGCCATTTTTGGCTGTTTTCCACATTAACACAGTTATGTACAGACATGACAGGGGTTAACTTGCATCGCCCGTTTTAAATCATTATTAGATTGTCATTTTGATACAGCCGTTTAAGTGAAAAATATTATTGTCGCTCTGGCGTCTGGATATATTTGCCATAACATTTATTTATTTGGGAAAAAAGTTGTATACAGAAAAATACATGACAAATACTGACACCATAAGGCATATAAACACGTGAGTTAGATAATTATAAAAAATATTTAATTCATAATCACATTTAAAATTAGTACCTCATTAACCCCAGTCAAGTTCAATGCAAATTAAATAATGTAAATTACATTTCTATTGGTATTAGGAGTTTACAATTATAAGTGATGTATAGAAGTGACAAGGCCATTTTAGAATATTTTTGATGATCATTTCTAATACATTTAAGTGGAATTTCCATACTTAAAAAACATGGAATTTCCATACTTAAAAAACGTCCATACTTGAAAAAATTTCCCATTGATTCGCCATTCGCCCAAACTAATGCACCACTGGCATCAACTTGTAACCCTATCCAGTATTTGTTGTCTATGTTGTCGGGATTCACAGTTGATGCTTCAGCAACAAATTGGTTTACATCTGCTTCCCTAAGTACAGCTAGATGTCCTCCATATGTGTTTTCGCATTGTGATCTAAAATTAAAAAAATATTTAGTGATTTTTTGTTTACCACTAGTGACAGTGAGAAATACCTCTCAATTGGTATATCCGACATATATATACAGTCGTAATTGACGCAAGTAATTATGTGTTATTTTATGTGCTCACATACGTAGTCATACGAGTTCACATCTGTCATTCTGTACGAGTCGTGAACCACTTAGTCAAATACCCCGAAGTAATTTATGCAAACAAGCAAATCAAGTCTTGCCTGAACCGCGGATCGAATCCGGGACCTATTGCGTAAGAGGTACACGCACGACTGCTGAGCTATAAAGGTGGACTCTAAACTCTGGCGAAAGAGGGGAAGATAGAGTTCGAGTGCACGCCAAGGAGAATATGGAGATGACGCGATTACAAAATTCGTCGGAATTCAAAACAGCCACCACTTTCTTCCCTTCAGAATTTGAATCGCGAGTTTTGGTCTTATTTCCACACAAAAGTCAAAAACACACAAGAAGTGATCAAGCTATAAGTTCAAATCTTTTTGACTGTTGATTATGACAACATTATGACATTTTCATTGTTGGAAAATATTGAAAGCATCCCTGGGAGCCAATCATCATTGGGTCCAATCTATGAAGATGGGGACTTTTTTAGAATAAAGTCATTCACCCCTTTGAACAATCCTGGGGACACACCAGTCAATCTGCATTTTTTATAAATACAAACCTTGCTTCATCAAAAGTCGACGATTCTTCATTAACGAGGAAGCATCTTTCTTCATATTTCTGCCAAGTTTTCCCTTCAGGTGCCGTTCCTTCACTGCAATCCAGCGTTTCTATGAGACAATAAATATTAATTTGATAACATAAAGGATTTTAATAACTGCTCAAAGGACTCCATAAACTGAATCATGCAATACAAAATATATAATATGGACAAAGCGTAACCTTGAAAAAAATCACCAAAGAAACTAGCATTGCAATGATGGACTTATAGCATATATTGGACTGGTCAAATCATGACGTGCTTTTTACATTCACATTCGTAATGTAAGTTGATTTTTTTATCGTTTATGGCATTTCTTCTTTCAACTAATAATACTTTTTTGAATGGGACTTCATGGTCGTATGGGCTGACATTCAAAACAGTTTCGCTTAAATTCGACAGACCAAAAAACTTGTTATTTTCTATTGCTGTCGAATTACTGCAATCTTTTTTGGTATGTGTATTATTTATCATCGAAAACTTGCTGAATGAAGTAAATGAAAATGTAGCCTTGATAATTAATCTTATGAATACTTGCAAACATTTGGCGAATATTTTTTGACTAGATAGTGCACATCATATTTAATGTTTTTGGTGAAAATACTGCATAATTAAAATTTCAGCGGTTTCTAAATAATAAAGGTATCAGAATACTTGCATTTCAAAAAGATGAAGGGAAAAATATATAGACGTGGTGAAAAATAATATACGCAACATACAAGAGACATGTTTAAATTCTCTAATGGCACGTCATGAATTTTTTAGTTGAATAATTCTCTACCTTATTCTGCATTTCACAGAATTTAAGTTTAGTCTTACCGTTAGTACACTGTAGTCCTATATACGGATATTGTTGGTCGTTTGGAGAACAGTTGTTGCCATAAGACCAACTGCAGTACCTCAGACCTCTTTCTGAACCATCGCATACCATATTAGAAAAACGCTCTATGTAAACCTGTTAAAGGTAGATTTTGACATATGCTCCTCAAAAAAGTCAAGGACCAGTGGTTTTCTTCATAAGTTTACATGTTAACCCGCATTTGTTTGAATGACTATTTTCTAGGCTTGGAACAAAAGAAAACCCGATATTCTCTATAAAGTCTGCAAAATTCAATGTTATATCTCCATTACAATGGGTCAATATTTGCTGTCAAGTCAAAATTGATGAATTTTATAAAAAGAAAAAAATAGCAGACCCCATGTAAACCAATAGGAAATGGTTGGGTTGCCATAAGTCATTTGAGGAACGATCCATCCATCCGATTGCTTTAAAATTAGAATTTTAAGAGACAATTAAATTTGCTGAATTGTCCACTGGACAAAACTATGATTTAATTTTCCAACAAAAAATAAACGGTTTCAAATTCAATAATTCTTTTAATGGTCCTCTTACTGAAATAACACACAGGTGGTCAGCAAGGTGGTCAAAATTACTTTAAAGCTCTGTATCGCTAATTTTAACAATATACGCAAGATATTAACCATGTAAAATGTAAATCCATTCGAATTTCTACTCAGAAAGTATTTAATGTTTTACTGAATATATATTCCAAAATTTGAGTAGCCCCCAAGCCACCATTCCCCATTTGTTTAACATGGGATCTGCCATTTTTGTTAAATTTCATGAAAGTCATCAATTTTGACATCAAATTTTGACCTATTGTAATGGAGATATAACATTGAATTTTGCAGAATAGAGAATAGAATTAAGATACAGATTTATTTACTTTATTCGACTTTTGTTCGACGCTTAGAAAATAGTCGTTCAAACAAATATTGGGGTTAACATGTAGACCGACATGAGGAAAACAACTGGTCCTTAACTGTTTTGAGGATAACATGACAAATTCGTCAAATTTTAATTTCATTGTTTGGATAAAAATAAATTTAAATGTGAATATCGATCGATCGATCATTTCATCCCTTACCTCGGATTATTTGGTGAACCTATTTTCATAGAGGTCATGAAGAAATTCAAAGTGTTCCATACGTTTGTTTTGATATTATTGACCGAAAGCCGGTGATGAAACATAGTATATATATAATATATATAAATGTTCTACTAAAATGAATTCCCAAATAATAAATTCACTATTCCATATGTAGGGAAATAGAAATTGAAACAAGGAATATGGGACACCATATATAGATTCCTGCCCATGTGACCATGAATTCATAAAAGCAATTCAAATTTTAAAACAGGTGTTCTAACACTCCTGACACTTCAAATCGGTCTAAATGTTTGTTGATGTAAAAGGCCATCGGCACCATAAGATTAATATATGTAGCTTTAAGGTGAGGTTTTCATAATCGCAGATTTATCAAAGCTGCTCGAGATATTAGTACAATAACGTCATTTCAAAGAGCAATATAGTGAAATATTGGACCGAGGGCCGAAGGCCAGCAGAAATGACGTCATTAGTATTATTACCACCGTTAATGACCAGGACTGAAACAGCAAAAAAATCTTACGCGCTGAACGATACTATCTAACTATCTAATTTCCCGGGGAAAATTGCCGGTCATTAATTGCATTCTTGACTGGCAATATTGACCACCACCATGACGTCACACATTGCTCAGGTCGATATAGTAAAATGAATGCCTTCGAAACTAGCACTAAAACCCCTAGAATTGGCCCTGCAAGGTAGTAATAATTATGATTTATACGGATGCACGTGTTAGGTAACTTCACAACAGTCACAAAGATTAGTGACAAAGCGCTCATAAATTCCAACAATCACAAAAATCTGGGGACATAAGGGATGGGATATCACGGAAATGCATCAAGCATGTCCCTAGAAGTTCTTTGTTTGGCTTAAACAATAGAAATGAAGGAGAACTCCTAAAATATTACTGAAAATTATGTTATATTCCATGTAATTTTGTGTAAGTTATCGCCTTTACCTCTTAGTTAATAATATTTAGACAATGACGCCACCTTCGTTGGGGCTTCGTTGAAGCTATAGATGTTTATCGATATATCATCAAAACCTTACTAAGTGTTACATTAAAAGAGTAGAAAATATATATAAAGATACCACCCCTCCCTAACTTCCATTATTCTGGCCTTTGTCCGCACATTTCATCACGACTTTGACAAATTGCCAACACTTATTACATGGAGTGCTACCCTCATAATCAATGGATAAGGTTATTTTATTGTTCTGTCCTTACAACTGTTACATATCCTCTCTTATTGACGATGCCATTTTGTTTATCAATAGCGGACTATTTTATTAAACATTGGGACACTTGGGTTGAATGAAACACGCAAATAAAATAAATGAAAATCAATTTTCTCAATGAATATATTACCTGTCTGTGCGTATGTTGTTGAGGCTGAAGTATAAAGCCATCGTCGTACCCGAGCTGCTTGCAAGCAACGTCCGCTGCCCGCCAATCAAAGACCGCATCTCGGCAGATCGGCAACCAATTAGAACCGAGATATAACATCTCCAGCATCCCCTTAGCGCCAGTTGTATATTTGCTTCCTATAATACGGAGTTCACCTGGCGCATCTGTAATTAGAAAATAAAAAATCCTATTTTAATTTATACATGGTCTCTCTTCAAATTCATGGTTCGATGAAATGCCCTTGCATTGTACAAACGCAACTCGTTGTTCGTGTTGTTGTTCTTCCAACTCGCTACAATTACTAAACCTTGCTCTTGGCGTCAATTGAATTTAATAAAATCTTGAAAACTATTTGATCAATTCAATCATTCGGGGCAACTTGCTTTATAAAATAAGTCATTGAAGCAGTTCTATATGCGGCACTATTGTAAGGACATTGACTGAATCAAAAACGTCTAAAATACATACAGTACATATCATTCTCATGGTACACTATCATTGACTTTTGTTTTAAATACCTTTACAGTAGCCAACATTTTCACCAATGTATGTTTTATTTGGTCCACATATCATCTGATTGTTTGTGGGTTCCACCAATTCATACGCGTTTTCACAAAACACAGTTGGGGTTTTATTGTACCATACGTCATCAATATAACCGAAGTAACCGAAATCCACGTTCAAGTTCGGCGGACTGCAGTATTGATCTTAAAACAGACAGTTTAACGTAATTAAAATATAGGCATCAAGAGCTTCAAGGATTATATTATCTGTTTACATTTCAAAACTTGTTGATTTATGATCAATGTGCCAATAAGGGCAAAGAAGCTATGAAAGTAAGTAAGACTATGGTATCCTACAAGAGGTTCCGGATATTAAAATCATCAGAAGGCCAATATACAAAAATATAATTAAGTTACAGATCTACTGGTCAATTGATAATGCAAACACAACTAAATATTATATATTCTATTAACACGTGGCAGGATATAGCAATACTTAAACTACACCAAACCAACACCAAACCAAAGTTATGAGAATTCTACAATCATGTTGGTTTTCCACCGATAGATAGAGGATATCCTATGATTTATGAGTGATATGATTTTTATCCACGAATGGATATGATATCTGCACGAGCGAGCGTAGCGAGAGAGTGCAGATATCAATATCCATGAGTGGATTAAAATCATAACACGAGTAAATCATAGGATGTTCTTTTTATTCCATAGTTAAAGTCATCATCAGAATCGTCGGAAATTAAGTTATTTAATTCGAATTTCCAAACGATCCGGCGATGTTGACACTTAGCCTCGTTTTGAGTCTGAAGTAGCAAAAATCCATAAACCATCGCATACATAAGGGTTATGTACTGGGAGGTTTTGGATATGGGGTTTATCCAGAGGGAGATATGCATATCTACGTAGGGACCGAAGGTAGATGTGCATACCTCACGAGGGATGAACCCAATATCCAAACCGACCGTACATAACTGCTTTATCCTATACCAAGTAGAGTTTTCCAATTTTCGTTCGATTTTTTCAATTCTTTTCACATTTTTCTAATTTTTTTCAATTTTTTCAATTTTTTCAAATTTTAATTTTTTTTAATTTTTTTCACATTTTTTCTTTTTTTCAATTTTTTAAAAAAAATTTAATTTTTTTTTTCGAAGCGGGAAGATATGCGCTGGAGCGGGAGATATGGAGGTTCAGGATATGGAAACCTCAATACGGGATATATCTTACAAACTTATCTCCCTAAAACTCTACTTGGCATAGGATAAGACGTCGTATGTCATGGCTAAAAAAACGTATGTTATGGTTAAGTGAAAATTTGTCAAAAATATCATATTTTACCACTGATTTCAAAAATACCGTTTTTATTTTCACATGTTATCCTATGAATATCATGCTAACTATGGAATAAATGAGATTATGCAACCAAATGCAATATAAGCGACTTTTTCTTTAGATTTGAATTTGGCAGCAAATTAGTTTGTTAACTTCAACTGGTGTATAGCATCACGATTTCGATATTTCGTACCTGGGTTATAGACCTTAACCAATTTGTTTCCGATAAAACCTAAATGTTCGTCATGATTTATCTATGTTACAGTAATCTTATTGGACCTTTCAAATACTTATTTAGAGTGCCATGTGAGTGGTTTCACATGATTTAACAATATTTTCAAAGCTTTTATATGATTTACAGTATACGGTATTGTAGGCCGTTTTGATTGTAACGTGTGTTGTTAGCGCATGCGCACTAATACATATGGGTTACGCTTCCGCCTAAATGGTTGGTTTCGTATTCCCATAATATAACTTGTCTAACAATGAAATGCCCCTCTTATCTGTCGTTTGTACTTTGGAGGGATAAAGACAAAGGGGGCGCGGTAATATTGTGATGTGAAACACTTAATAGTTCTTACATGAGGAACATAGAGTTTCGGCATACGGTATTGCAGTTTCCGACAAAGCTGTATCGAAAACCTGGACGCAAGCTAGATAACCTTTGAATCCTTCTGAAGCAGCAGTCGTGTCTTTTCCTGAAATAGTTAGACAGATTAATGTGGAAATGACAAAGGGCCATTACAAAACACAATGGGAAATGCCGGAAAATCTAAAACCACAAGTCATAACAAGGAGACTCTGACCTCTGAAACCCCGCGCCCCACCTCTGACATTAGCATAACGAGTTCCTATGCTTAAGCTTAACATTGGTCATTGGGGTCGAGACAAGCAATTATTTGGTAGTTTAGTGAAAAGCTTACTACTGACTTCTGACGAATCCTTTCTTTAACCCTTTTAAGGTTATGCTATAGAAAATTACCCTTCCTATGATTTTGGAAACGAACAATTATAGGAAGTTCTATATTAAATATGATTGGAACGGTTATTCTATTCAAAGTATTTTTAGCTTACTTATTCAGTCATTATTGATGAAGAAGTTAATTTTTGTAAGAACATAGGGGTTTATCGTTTTAAGTCAAAAGTAGCAACAATTAGGGAATTTCATTAACTTTGACAAGCTGTAACTTTCCTCCTAGGGGGGGGGGGTCAGAGATCAGAGTCACACATTTTCGCTAATTGTAAGAGTGACACTGTAAAAAGTGCATATCTAAATAAATATTACTTACTTATTTGTATGGTTCCTTCGATATTCCACTCCAGTGTCTCTTCCACCTGGCTTACACCATTGATGTAGATTGTCAGCGTGTTATCATTCCCATCATAAGACAACGCAAACCGGATCCAGTTATTGGCATCTCCATTCCAAGAAAAAGTAGACGCAAGCAGAGGGTCTCCATGGCTGAAGGTTATGTAAGTTTGACCTCCTAAATTCGTTGGTGTAAATGACAGATACGACACGGGATCCGGAAGCGTTGTTGATATAAATTTAAATGATAAACTATCTTCTATTACTTTTGTGCTAAACATGAGAGTAAACGAATTAATCGAATTACTGATTGTAAAATCAATGATAGAGTTCCCATCAAAATTATATACATCACTATCCATCATTTCTGAATTTACAAAATCTGGTGTGGAAGGAGTTATCGTAGCCGGGTTGGCGTAACCGCTGACGTCATCAAGGTTTGTTTTAGCAACCAATGGCCACAACGCAACGGGGTGTAACGGCACTAAAATAAAGTAACAGCTCGATTCAATTGGGGTATAACGACACTTAGATGCAATATTATTTAAATCACTAAATATGAACTGGATTTGACTTGAGATTTAACAGGGGATTTCTAGTTGCAAAAATATGGCATTTAATATGACAAATCAATACTGCCGCCGTCGTCGCATATCTTTTCAATTAATCAATGACGATGTTGAACTGATTTGCACTAATTTAATATTTATATTTGTAGAAAATGTAACTATCAATGTAAAATGTTTCTCATAAGCCCAGGTAGGGCTGACTATTTTAGACAGATGACACTTAAATAAATGAATGGATATAAAAAATAAATGAATACTTAGACTATTTTAAGTACTGATGTCAAATACATAATACGAATAATCGAAATCGTAATAATCAATAATAATATTATCGATAATAAATCTGAAGATTAATTCAGTGAATTTTAAAGTTGATCGACACATTTTTCTGTGAGTTTAGAAATGCGCATTCATTGTGATCATGGTTTGAAAAAACAGAAATTATAATTGGTACTCACAACCACAAACTGGCGTACGACCCGACCACAGCATGAAACGGGTCTGCTCATCAAATGTACAAGTCCGGCTCAGATCACCTTCTAAGTGAAGATAGCCTACGTTGCAATTATACTGGACAGTCGCTCCCTCTCTAGTGTTTGGGTTTGGTCCTGCTATGTCCGAATTTGGAACAGGAGTGGGGTCATAGCAGTCAATGTCTATAAATTAAGAAATATATTATAAATTAAGAAAAATATTATAAATTAAGAAAAATATTATAAATTAAGAAACATATTATAAATTAAGAAATATATTATACATTAAGAAAAATATTATAAATTAAGAAATATATTATGAATTAAGAAACTTATAATACCCAAAGATTGTAACTCTTACTTGTTGGTTCAATTAAGTTTGTGTCATCATCCAAATATTGACATATGAATACAATTACAATTATTTATTACAACATACAATAATTTATTTATTTATAATATGTATATATATTTATAGTTCGCGGTATCAGAACTGATGTTCGCGTTGTTGTTGCAATCGAACCACGATTCTGACACCGCGAACGTGAAATCTTTAATCGCGCACCACCATTTCCTTGTTTCCGAACATATTTCTGTATTGAAATCTAATTTGAATGTGCAAGTAAATCAAAATCTAAAATTTGTGAATTATATATAGAATTATAATTCTAGGATTCTATTCTTCTAACTGACTCCATGACACCATAAGGAAACATTCCAAATCTGAAAAATAAAACCTGTGAAGGAAATTGGACGAATTGTCATATTCAAAGAAAATATCTTACTTTCACATTTTGGCTCTTGATTCGACCAAGTAAAGTCTTGTTGGCATGTCCTCTGAGATGTGTATGGGGATCGAATTCGGAACCCATCATCACAATTATAATTAGCTGTCCCCCATACACCAAAATACGAAGCATGGACTGTTCCGTTGTTGATGTTATTAAGCTCAGGGCAACCTTTAAAATAATACAAATATATAGTAAAGTAAAATATCCGTATCACAATCACCAAGTTGATCGGGATAAAGCAACGTCAGATGCCAGTAGCACTAATGTGATTTTGATGTAACAAAATAAGAGTCCACTGTCACCAAGGTGATGTGGATAAAGCAACGTCAGATGGGTGTCGCAATAAGATGATTTGGATATAACAAAATAAGAGTCCACTGTCACCAAGGTGATTGGAATGGAGTGACGTAAGATATCAGAGTTCCCCCTAAAGGTGATTTGGATGAAACAAAATAAGATCCTAAAATTATCGGGAAATAAAATACAAATCTAGTATGTATATACTGTGTATACATAATCTATAGATTTCAGTATCACTAGGATGGTATGTAGAATAAAAGAAGCAAGATATAATATGAGCAATGTTTTCAGTTTTCCCGAGTTGAATAGATAAGAAATATACCACAAGCGGCCGATCAGTGTCATAATTCATAATACTATGATCCTAATGGGCCGCCGTAGCTCATTTCCTTACTGTGACTGATAGAACTATGCTATCCTACCATAATGACTACACTATTTTATTACAATATGCTTTTAGCTTGTCTTATTTACAGATGATTTTTTTTTGAAACATGTCATTCTTTCCTTAATGAGATTATCATTTTTACTGAAAAGCTATGTTCCGTTTTCCCTTAACAAATATTATTCAATGCAGTTGATCTGATAAATACAATTAGGTGCAGGTGCCTACTGCACCGCGGAAAACTTCCTTGTAATTTTACCAGCTGACTGGCTACTTCGTTTTACGCTTTGTGGTACAAGAGGGTCAATGCACCTGATTCTTACATAGCTGTTTGGTATTTTTAAAACAATTGTTCGTTAGGTAATAGCAGGAAAATAGCTTTTCTATATTCTGGAAAACCATGATTATCATTATTTTAGTAAATTATAGGTTTTTATATGTACATACTTTTTTAATGACTGTCGACGCTCCTTTCATACTATATATGAATGCGAGCCACTGTTTTAAAAGTGTAAGTAGAAATAAATAAATAAAATATTCTCACTAAAATGGAGGCAATGCACTCCCATGAAACTAGGTGTTCTCAAAAATGTGTGTTGAATATTACACGAGGCGCTTGTTAAGAACTAATATGGAAATGTTCGATCAAATGTGATCCAGAATAATGTTGTCTCCAGGAAATGACTGTCGGGTATGTATTCTCAACGTTCACCAAATTACATGAAGTCTTGTGAAGAGACATCAACAAGCGGCTAACCAGTGTCACAATATATTACTATATGAATCTGGTGAACTGCCTGAAACGTATTCTTCCATTGCTGACCAGTGTCACAATATATTACTATATGAATCTGGTGAACTGCCTGAAATGTATTCTTACATCAATTTCCTACAACGCACAGCTGTGGTTTGGTGCAGTTAAAGGTGTTTAATTTCAGCATTTTCAATGGTAATCAACACTATAACTACCCAGTACTAGCCACTACTTGGACTAAAGTTTTATGTAACAACCCTGAGGATTTCTATATTTTCCAAAACTATATACTATATTAAGCAACTATTTCCTTCGCTACAATTTTGTCAGGATCCCTTCTATAGCTAGCGAATCAGAGTCAACGACCAGAGCGGCCTACCAGTGTCATATTTCAATACACTATGACCCTATGAAGGACCCTCTAGTCGACATCACTAAAGTACCAGATATGTGTCTGTGATAAGGAAGCCCTAGTTGGCATATCCTTGGTAACAGAAAAGAAATATCTAGGATGTACCAAAGGACTACTTAAGGACTTAGGACACAGCCCTCTCATTTTACACTAGTGCCATATACTAGCAACGTTATATTGTGTTTCATAAATGCATTATAGTCCATGATATAATTCCGGCTTTTAGGCTGAATTGTGTCTGCCATTAACTTAGGTCAAAAAATTACCAAAAATAAATAAAATCCCAATTTTTCACAATTTGGAGTACACAATGCAACAGAAAATAATACAAAATGACTTTAACGATATGATTTAGGTTTCTAAGCTAAAATTTTGAGGTTATTTTTCTTATCAATACCAAAATATTATGTAATCGGTGTATCAAGGTTTTGTATTGTTTCTCAGGTATTAATAAGATAAATGCTACAAATGAATCACTTTTATATTAGAATGACATATGCTTAAATTATGCTCGTTTTTCACAAAATGAGTCTCAATACGTTTTGAGATATGGACTTTTATTCAGCGGTGATCATTATCAATAAAGGAGGGCCTATTGCTCTTCCTTGACTAATTGGGACTACATCTAAAATTCTATTTCTAGTAGTTAGATATAGCTCAGTTGCTTATAAACAACCATCAAGACTTCGAATTCATGAATAATTGAGAAAAATGGTTATCATTATCTTCCTAAAATTTGATTATATGCAGTGGCAAGGTCAAAGAAGAAACGACCATCAGAAAACATGATGATAGCCAGCAGTACCCCTTGTGATGAATGACATTTTTCGACCCGAAAGCCGGACGTTTTTTCAGCAAATGGTATTTTAAAAGAATCAAGACATATGCACCTCCATAAATATTGCTTCAAATGTTGCTGCGCTATAGTTTGCTACGGATCCTTCATATTCGGAAGTCATACCATGGACTATTACATCAAATTTCAAATAAAAACAGATTGTACCGAAGCATGCATACCTTCACACGTTGGTAAAGAACCTGACCATGACGGTAGATAACTACTCATAAGGCAATGTCTAGTGAGATTCCCCATCACATGTCGGAAACCAGAACGGCACGTATATATAACGATACTACCGACAGGTGGTGATTGCATATAATTGTTTCTGTCCCCATTGGTAATGGCTTCTGCTCTGTCACATGAAAATGCTGGAAAAAATGCAATACGATTTTTCAATTTCAGCCAATGGCTGTTATTCTTCTTCCTTGCAACATATTGGTCTTACTTTAAACATTCAAGTGGAGATAAATTTTGAAACCGCTGGACATGTTTTCACATGTACACATCAAAAATGTGAAATAATGACTATACCATCATCATATTGGAATAAACATAACCATATGACCTCTTTTGAAATCTGCGTTCCTCTAGCTAACGAGCTTTTATTACTTACGCTTCGCAAATGCTTTCAGGGCTGGTGTACCAACATTGACTGCCCATTCGGGATTACTAGCAACATAGCCAAGGGGAAGAGCTGCATCATTCAATGAGAGCTCAAACCAGCATTCAATTTCACTTGGTTTATTAAGCGATATGATGATCGGTGAGTTGCTTGCGTCATAGTGGTAACCAATTACATCACCGGTTTGTATCGACAAACTGGCGTTTGCTGGAATTATCTCACTTTGAGACCCTGAAAGTTTATGGATAGGTATGGTAAAATAAATTGTCAAATAGGTATTGTATGATATGGTATGGTACACGCTACGGTACGATACGGCAGTGTATGGTATGGTATGGGCATATATTGGTTGACATGAAATTGAACTTAGCTATCTAAAGTTTAGGTACAGATGGTATGCAATGATATGATAAAATATGGTATGATACGAGAGAGTAATTGTATGTGTATTATGTAGTATTAAAAACACAAAGGTGGTATGCAATGATATGATAAGATATGGTATGATACGAGAGAGTAATTGTATGTGTAATATATAGTATTAAAAACATAAGGTGAGATAATGTATTTATTGGGTCACTCTTAATCAGATTCAAAAATCATTTTGTCACCTCCCAAACTGATACACTTACTAGTCTTTATCACTTGTTTAATTGTTTGTTTTACATGTACTGTACATGTATCATAAACTATTATATTTACCAGTTTGCAGTGCCTCTATTTCATATTTCCACACTAGTCTATAGTTGCTATCTTCTGGCCGCCAAATTGTTGCAAAGAAACGCCCGGTGTTGCTTGCATAATATTGCACTCGGTCTAGCTGACCAGTGCAATTAAACTCATGACCAGGGTGAATCGTTGCAACTCGGTATTTATTTGAAAATTCATATGTCGGATTATCATTCCCTGCTCTACACACTGGAATATAATGAAAGTAAATGTAAATAAAATGTTCGGAAAGCATTCCCATGATACACAAACTGGAATATAATGAAGGTAAAATGTAAATTAAATGTTTAGATAGCATCCCATGATACACAAACTGGAATATAATGAAAGTAAATGTAAATAAAATGTTCGGAAAGCATTCCCATGATACACACACTGGAATATAATGAAAGTAGATGTAAATAAAATGTCTGGATATCATCCCATAATACACAGACTGGAATATAATGAAAGTAAATGTAAATAAAATGTTCGGAAAGCATTCCCATAATACACAGACTGGAATATAATGAAAGTAAATGTAAATAAAATGTTCGGAAAGCATTCCCTGCTACACACACTGGGATATAATGAAAGTAAAATGTAAATAAAATGTCTGCATAGCATCCCATGATACACACACTGGAATGTAATGAAAGTAAAGTGTAAATAAAATGTTTGGAAAGCATTCCCTGCTACACACACTGGGATATAATGAAAGTAAAATGTAGATAAAATGTCTGCATAGCATCCCATGATACACACACTGGAATATAATGAAAGTAAAATGTAAATAAAATGTTTGGATAGCTTTCCCTGCTACATACACTGGAATATAATGAAAGTAAAATGTAAACAAAATGTTTGGATAGCTTTCCCTGCTACACACACTGGAATATAATCATGAAAGTAAAATGTAAATAAAATGTCTGGATTGGTATTCCCTGCTACACACACTGGAATATAATGAAAGTAAATGTAAATAAAATGTCTGGATTGGTATTCCCTGCTACACACACTGGAATATAATGAAAGTAAAATGTAAATAAAATGTTTGGAAAGCATTCCCTGCTACACACACTGGAATATAATGAAAGTAAAATGTAAATAAAATGTTTGGAAAGCATTCCCTGCTACACACACTGGAATATAATGAAAGTAAAATGTAAATAAAATGTTTGGATTGGTATTCCCTGCTACACACACTGGGATATAATGAAAGTAAAATGTAAACAAAATGTCTCGATAGCATTCACTGCTACAACACTAGAATATAATGAAAGTAAAATGTATGGATAACATACAGGGTGTCCGGAAAGTAAAGATACAAATACTCTAATTTTAAGAGATTTAGTTTTTTTGTAATGAAATCGCTACAGATTGTAGAGGAACTAGATTACAATACATCTACCAACTGTTGTAGCATATAGTCTTAATGTGTTGAAGTTACGGTTGTCATGGTTACGGTGGTGAGGGGTATGCGGAGCAGTTCCAGGATATCGCTAAATTGTGATAAATTGCTAAACTATAACCATTTGAAATAGAGTTTTTTATTGTATTTCTTATCAGTTTTTTGTTTTGTTCAATATTGTATTCTTGCTGCCATAGAATTCTCTTTAGTATAACGATATCATTGATACATATCAGAACTATGTAATGTCACAAGTATAATCAAAGAAAAAGAGTATATAAGTGCTTAGAAAAGGGGTCCCTGGATTAATAGGAAAGTCAATAGTGCACCTCCACAGTCAATGATCCAAGATACAAAGCAAAGAAAACAAATCTTACAAGTGAATGTCTTGACATTATCCTTTTTGTACAATGGACCAGATTTACCTAATAATGTCCCGTTGGACTTCTACATTAATGAATATGTTAAAGCAATAAATGTGAGAAGTTCCACATGAGACTCGGCTGGAAACCAAAGTTATCAGCAATCTTAGAGACTGACAGCAAAGGTTTTGCCAGGTCTTGAATCTCCGGTCAAAATGCACCAAGAATGTTAAGATAAAGGTGGAAAATACATAATACTGGATAACAGTAGTAATGTCAAATGATTAAACAATGTTACAATACTAATCCTTTTGCTGTTGTGGTACATAATTTGATGCATAATACAACAGACGACGGAGCATCAAGATGATATGAACAGGAGAAATGAATTATAAAGCATAATTGTGACGCTGTTCCACATACCCGCGACCCCTGTTACCATAACAACCATAACTTTTTTTATTTTGAAACAATTTGTCATGACAGTTGCAGGATAAATTGTTATTATGTCATTCTACAATCTGTAGCAATTTCATCTCACAACAGGTAAATCTAATGAAATTAGAGCATTTGTATCTTTACTTTTCGGACACCCTGTATATTGCCAACAATCTGAAATATGCTGGGAACATTTTTACTTATGAAGATATGAAGTTTTAATTATCAATTTTATCCTGAACCCCAGTTTATTTAAGTTAATTAATCTGATCTAGGGTTACCATGCAGATCATGCATACAAAAGTCCTTTCTATACGTACCTTTACAATTGTAGTATGCTCCATCCCATTGTTGATATTGGTTGCATGTCCTGACGGTGTCCCCATACCAATACTCATAACCTGGAATTAACGATAATATTACGCATAATTATCACTTCTTTAGATAGCTTCAAATTGAGCCATGTATGATGAAAAACGGTTCAATAATATTAAATCTATAACAGTTTCTAGTATTTTAACTTTTTCAGAAACAAGACAGACAGTGAAAATTATCGCACTCTAATGAGCAAAATGGTCACCAAATAATTCACCCAGCATGCCCAAAACCCGATCAGATATTGACACTCCTATGCTCTTGCATTTGTAAAAGTTTCAAATTGTTCACGCTAGCGTTTTTTCTGAAATATTGATGACCAGAATTGATGTGTAGTCTCGAACTTAGAAACCTAGATAACATCTTAGGACCTAATTTTATAACGTTGACCTTCGACCTTGAGAATTCAAATTTTGTCAGACCTCAGTAGGTATTTAGTAATTAATTAAACTGACGTAAATTTGAATGAAAACATTTTACCTTTCGAAGATCACTGAAGGTCAGTAAAAGGTCAAATCTCAAAGTTAAAGGTCAGACTTAAACTCCTGAGAAATTTAGCAAGTATATCCAAAGCCTATGTTTGCATCAGTAAAAATTCAAATTGAACGGATGAGTGGTTTTCCAGGAATTTTGATGACAATATTTATGGAAAAAATTAAAAATGGCATGCGAATTATGTAATCCAGGATGCCTTGAACCCAATCTGCTCTTAGTGCTAGTTTGTTTTGCATTTGTAAATTTCAAGTTGAACAAGTTAGCGGTTTTCCGGAAATGTTGATGACAATAATTGATTTGTAGTCTCGAACTTTGAAAAACTTAAATAACATAGTTTGTGACCTACTTTGATGACCTTGACCTTCGGCCATGAACATTTGACTTTTTCAGACCTCATAAGGTCTTTTGTGATTAAGTCAATCTAAAAAATCAATTTAAACTATCAATTAGTTGAGGTTCGAAGGTCAATGAAGGTCATCCAAAAGTCATAGCTCAAATCTAAGGTGAAATTTGAACTCCTGAGAACATTTAAGATGATTTTAAAAAAACTAGTCAATTTGAAGCAAGTTGAAAAATCCAAAATTTATCAAATAATTAGAAATGGCCGTTCTATTGTTTAACCATCCTCCTAAGCAGGTGTGCAGAATCCGTACCTAATTCCTCCCTCTGCTATAACCAATTTGGAAGCGCCCTATTTAACTAAATCACGTGATCTAATTATGCACAATGAATTATACATGATTTCTGTCGCAGTGCTGCGACAGCCAATCAGATTGCGAGTTCTTAATCGGGGAAATGGTTACTGCTTATCGCAGTGGGTAAAAAGAAAGAATATATTCTGGAGTTTAAAGCCCTTGTGATCGGAGGATGTGTTTAACCAGCATACCCAAAACCTATTCAGATCTTCACACTAGTCTGCTCTTGCATTTAAAAAGAAATTTAAGTTGAATAGCGTCTTTCTGGAATTTTGACGACACGATTTTTTGAAAAAATGGCTGAACCAAATAATTTACCCAGCATGTTCTTAACATCATCAGATATCTCAAGTTGTCGAAGTAATTGTTGTTCCTAGATTTTAATGATAATATTCTATTTTTGTAGCACCTAGTCGCATGTGCACCCGCCAGAACGACAATCAGCACAAGACGACGGCAATGAAGCACCTTTTCAAAGTGCGATAAAAATGGATATACCCATGAGAAAGAGTAGGTCTGACATTTGGAAATCCAGTTATATGGCCCTGGGACTAATGATAGGGTTATGTTTAAACATAATGCTTTAGAAATCGGAGAATCACGAAATCAAGGTATAAAATAACATGTCACAAGTAATAAAACGTTTTTAGGAGTAAAAGCAGGGGGGGGGAGATTTCCCAAAGACGATCTGTAGTATTCGGCACGTTCGATAACCAATTTTATGGCTTCATTTACCAATGAAATGGATCTCTCCATGTTCGCTGTTGTTGTATGAGTATTCTCTACAAGTTTGGATCGAGTAACTTCTATAGTATTACCTTAGTTTTGAAATGATGATGGTGAACTGATGTTAAACTGAAATGAACGCCATTTCCAAGATTTCACATTTTACTTTACGCATGCGGGTCACTGAGAGAGCACGTGCACATACTCACATCCTGCAGTTTGATTTGACATCATGTACTGGGGAATCCCTGAACCCGATAGAATATGAAAGAATTATGGGAGCTACTCACTTCTTCTGGAGCAAAAGGTTACTTGGGGTAAATCAGAATCTAGTTATGATAATGACAACTGCTGTCACAATCTCAATTTAAACGTGAACATACATGTACTTGTCCTGTCCAATACAAACCAAAGAACCATTGAGTTGTGGTATAATATGATATAACAAGTCGCATGTACTAAATGGTAATGGTGTAGATCTAAATAATGCTAATGACATATGCGATGTACAAGTGTTGACTATATTGTGTGTAAACTCCACTTACCAGCATGTACTAAATGGTGATGGTGTAGATCTAAATAATGCTAATGACATATGCGATGTACAAGTGTTGACTATATTGTGTGTAAACTCCACTTACCAGCATGTACTAAATGGTAATGGTGTAGATCTAAATCTAGTAATGATAATGACATATGCTGTGTACAAGTGGTGACCATATTGTGTGTAAACTCCACTTACCAGCATGTACTCAATGGTAATGGTGTAGATCTAAATAATGCTAATGACATATGCGATGTACAAGTGTTGACCATATTGTGTGTAAACTCCACTTACCAGCATGTACTCAATGGTAATGGTGTAGATCTAAATCTAGTAATGATAATGACATATGCGATGTACAAGTGTTGACCATATTGTGTGTAAACTCCACTTACCAGCATGTACTCAATGGTAATGGTGTAGATCTAAATCTAGTAATGATAATGACATATGCTGTGTACAAGTGGTGACCATATTGTGTGTAAACTCCACTTACCAGCATGTACTCAATGGTAATGGTGTAGATCTAAATCTAGTAATGATAATAACCATATAATGATAATGATATATGCTGTATACAAGTGGTGACCATATTGTGTGTAAACTCCACTTACCAGCATGTACTCAATGGTAATGGTGTAGATCTAAATCTAGTAATGATAATAACCATATAATGATAATGATATATGCTGTATACAAGTGGTGACCATATTGTGTGTAAATTCCACTTACCAGCATGTACTCAATGGTAATGGTGTAGATCTAAATCTAGTAATGATAATAACCATATAATGATAATGACATATGCTGTGTACAAGTGGTGACCATATTGTGTGTAATCTCCACTTACCAGCATGTACTCAATGGTAATGGTGTAGATCTAAATCTAGTAATGCTAATGACATATGCGATGTACAAGTGTTGACCATATTGTGTGTAAACTCCACTTACCAGCGTGTACTCAATGGTAATGGTGTAGATCTAAATCTAGTAATGATAATGACATATGCGATGTACAAGTGTTGACCATATTGTGTGTAAACTCCACTTACCAGCATGTACTCAATGGTAATGGTGTAGATCTAAATCTAGTAATAATAATGACATATGCGATGTACAAGTGTTGACCATATTGTGTGTAAACTCCGCTTACCAGCATGTACTCAATGGTAATGGTGTAGATCTAAATCTAGTAATGATAATGACATATGCTGTGTACAAGTGGTGACCATATTGTGTGTAAACTCCACTTACCAGCATGTACTCAATGGTAATGGTGTAGATCTAAATCTAGTAATGATAATGACATATGCTGTGTACAAGTGGTGACCATATTGTGTGTAATCTCCACTTACCAGGCTTGCAGTTGAGAAAGACACTACTGGAGTATGTAAAGTTGGTTCCTGTATACTCAGTATACTGCTGAACAAATTTATTGGGTTGTCCACAAACTTTTACTGTAAACAAATATCAAATAATTATTGTAGCTAATGTTTTAATGAAACTAGTAATAATATGACAAATAAAATATATTATTTGTGAACTTTATAAATATGCAATGTAAAATGTTATGGCTAATTATCAATTGTATGTATATATTCATTGCCCTTTATGTAAAGGAGATACATCCCGATTTTAGGCTAGACTGGCGAAACAAATTAAAGGCCTTAAGTGTAATTATCTCATACTTTTTAGAATGGTGCAAAAAATCATACTGATTCATTTTATTCAAAAAATAATTTTGACAACATTGCCTTAAGAAAAAAGACCTTTTTCGTCCTTCTTTATTAACATGGTGTTGGATCACAATTATATGTATCGGCTATTGCAGTCAAGCTTTATAACGAAACATCTGAGTGAAAAAACAATTTACGAGATGCTTGCGAAAAATAGTGCACACATTTTGCGATCCCACCCTGTGTTTACAATTAACATGTACAGGGTAAGCCAAAATGGTAGCCCAAACAAACGTTAATAACTAAGTCATACAGCATTGGTTTGAAGTCTCACTTTGCACAATTGAACCTTGTTCACAGTTCTTCTCCAATGACTTTAAATTCATGCTTTATGACAGAGGTATTAACATTTATCCAATTTTATCGAATAAACAGAGGGTATGTCAAGTCAATGAATACAACAAGTACTTATGTGTTTGTATTTTTATAAACTTAGGTAAATGGAAACTATTGAAGTCATTCTGCTACATAACATCGAAGCTCGGACACTCTTTTCTATCTTCAAACTTGATCTATTCGTTAAACGACCTTAAAGTGTCCAGTGACTATGTAAGTCACTGAGTTTACACTAGTGAATAAAACGAGTTGATTTTATATGGGTAAATTATATCAATTCAGAATTGTTTCGTACAATACATCTACGGAGTATTAAAAGTTATGTTTGTAATTCCAATGTTGATGCTAACGTATGTAACGACTCTTGGGTACGTCCGTCAGGGAGCTGTAATGTACCGAGCTAGCTACTACACTCGAAAGGGAGTGTGCTTAATTCAATCGAACCCAAGACCTTCCGCTCTCGAGTCAGACGCACTACCCATGAGCCATAAAGGCTAGCCACTACAGCTGAGACTGTAGTAGCGACTTGCTATTAAAGGTCATTACACGTACATACGTCATTGGACACTTATAGTTTTTATTATATCATTCAAATACCATTGCATGTAAACGGAACTTGTTGGGGCCATTCATTTCCTGAGCAATCGAGCTGATTTGATCCCTCTATTTGAAACCCTTGGTGACAACTATAGTATGCCCTCTCATATTGGTTGCTATAGCTCATTGACGCAGATGGTGCCTCGGGGGCCTCTCCACAGGGCATAGCTGGAATTATATATACTCACGACATAAGTTTGGCAACTTGAGGCAATCGCCGTTTTTTATGTATAAGCTTGACTTGATAAAGTTTTAAAGAGAGATAGTGATTAATAGATAAAAGTGGGTCGTCCATTGATCTGAACAGTGTATTCACAAAAAAATCTTTTGATCTTCCTTGAAATGTTAGTCACTATCTGTTTTATCACACATTTATATAGTGTATTCCGCAAAGAGAAAAAAATAAAAATAATCTTTAAAACATATCACATTATAATATTTAAGCTCCTAGCTTATTCGAATGCGTTTAAAATGCGTTTTGTTAACTATTATTATTGTAGAACAGATTTAACCAAATATATTCGAAAATATATTCGAAATAAATGCTATGTCATCGCAAGCACGTGCTTACATGTTTCGCATCTCGTCCCAGTAAATCCTTCCATACAAACGCAGTACTTTGATATGTGGTCAACGGAATCTTTACACGTTCCTCCATTGTTGCAATAATCTATACAGTCTGAAAATACGATAGAAAATTATTAAATGTAAGTCTAGAATTGTGTGAAATTTCCAATTGTGTGACGTCTCGATGTTCACTTCATTCAATATCCGGATGTAAATGACAGTTTCAAATTATAAATCAGATGACGACACATTTTTAGATTTACATTTTGAAGGTGTTCATTATCAGTAAATTCAATTCAGTTCACTTAAACATTCTTTTTCACATTTATTGGTACAAAAATGAGGTTTAAAGTTAAATAATCACAACAGGTAAAAACGTTTTAAACGCTGGATAAATTTTCAATTTCAATGTATTATGATAGTGTGATAAAAAATGGTTATTCAAAAGTCAAGTAAAGTCAACATCATTAATTTGATGTTCTAGATATTTTTAACAAGGCAGCAACACGCAAGTATACTCCTACGTGGTGCAGACATAACTTAAATCAAATTTACCACATGGATAGTCAAATAAATCGGCGTCGTCTACTGCAATGTCACTCTCTTCCCCTTGTCCACGTGTGGCTTGTATGATAATCTGTACAGGCTTAAACATGTCCAGTGTTACCTTAAGTGGAGACCAACCAGAAAAGCTGTTGCTTCGATACTGCTCACCATGCTCCGTTGGATTGGGATCTGTGTTATATATAATCTCAAAATATACATGGCAATTTTTTAGAAAACTATGATTAATGGGCTAACATTTGTAATTCTGATCCTAAATTACCCCCAATAGTCCATGATATGACTTCCGAATATGAAGGATCCGTAGCACATTATAGCGCAGCAACATTTGAAGCTATATTTATGAAGGTGCATGTCTTGATTCTTATAAAATACCATTTCCTGAAAAAACTTTCGGGTCAAAAATGTTTTTCATCACAAGGGGTTAAAAAACTTTAATATTTTGATTCGAACTTTTAAACATTTTATAAGACACAGACCGTTATTCTAAGCATATGGACAAAAATATATTATCATAATGTAAAAATTTACTATAATTTTACCTAAATGTCGGTGTTTAATTAGTGTAATTACACAAGATTTTGTTTGATTTTTCCAATATGAGCCAAGCAGATTCAGCAAAATTGTAATTTATGATTGCGAACATATTAGTTTTCTTACTATCATAAAACATTTTTTACCAGAATTTATCCATATTATCGCAAGGGGTCAAACGAACAAATTATTGTTCATGTTTTATAAAACATAATACAACAAAAATAGCTAAGATTTATACTAATTAAATGTTACAGAGGTATTGGAATGTTAATATATACCAAGGGCATGTTTAATAATCAAATTTAGTCATATGCAATCGAACGCCTTACAATTCTTCCTCGACGTTACTGATCGCTCTATCATCAAGTTTTCTGATGGTAGTTTCTTCTTTGACCTTACCGCTGGATATAATCAAATTTTAGGAAGATAATGATAACGATTTTTCTCAATTATTCATGAATTCGACCAACTCTTGATGGTTGTTTTATAAGCTAACAACGAGAAATAGAATTTTAGCTGAAGTCGCATTAGTCAAGGAAGAGCAATAGACCCTCCTTTATTGATAATGTTTACAGCAGAATAAAAGTCCATATCTTAAATCGTACTGAGATCCATTTTGTGAAAAACTAGCACAATTTAAACGTTTGTCATTCTCATATAAAAGTAATTCATTTGTAGCATTTATCTCATTAATAGCTGAGATAAAATACAAAACGTCGATACACTGATTACATAATATTTTGGTATTGATAAGAAAAATAACCTCAAACGTATAGCTTAGAAACCTAATTCATATATTTAGAATCGTTTTGTTTTATTTTCCGCTGCATTGTGTACTCCAAATTGTGAAAATCGGGATTTAAGTTTTTTGTAATTTGTTGACCTCTGCTAATGACAGGCATAATTTAGCCTAAAAGCCGGAAGAATATTTCACAGTTATAATAAAACATATTACATAATATATGTAGGTATGTTAATGTTAGGTCAAATATCGCTGCGCTATAGTGTGCTACCAGCTTCTTTATTAGACGTCGTAGAGATTTCATACCATGGACTACAACACATTTGAAAGCTGTTATCATTGATGTCTTGAGGTTGAAAAATGCATGTAATAGGTAGCATACAGTCAGTGGATTTGGACTTAGTATTGAACCTTGAAAAATAGCGTTCGTGTGGATTGTTTATTGGCTACACTTAACAATTGAAGAAGGTGCTATTAGTTGTTTTTTCAAATTGAAACTTGGCATACTGGTTTCCATCAAATCTTGGAAAGCTTTAATCAAAAATTTCAAAAGAGATTGAACCTTGAAAAATAGCGTTCGTGTGGATTGTTTATTGGCTACACTTAACAATTGAAGAAGGTGCTATTAGTTGTTTTTTCAAATTGAAACTTGGCATACTGGTTTCCATCAAATCTTGGAAAGCTTTAATCAAAAATTTCAAAAGAGGAAAAGAGAAAAAAGACCGGCACTAAATGATACAAACCAATGATTTCCTCAAATTATGACCTACACATAGAGACAGAATGTCTAAAACACCTCTCTATAATATAGGCTTTGCTTGAAATCTCGTTTAAATGAGAGTTTACGAGATCTGCATATTTTAACAAAAAAAACGGGAGTATAGTACGTAGGAATGTCGAACCATTACCACCATTACAAAAGCGATGTGTAAAATATATACTTTACGCCTCATATTCAAAATGGACGGTAAATAAATTGCATTGTTCCGACAAAAGAGTAGTAAAATTTAAACTTACCATCTGGGTAATAGGTTTTGAGAGCCAAACTGCCAATATCGTCACCATTCGCCGAGTAATATACTCTGAAGCACATCCGGGACTCGGAATGAGGCTGCTGCACGTATGACACAAGTCTAAAATCAATAATTACATGTATTATACACAAATTAACAATATTTTTTAAAAACTAATTTTGAATTCATAAAAAAAGTTACATATTTGGATAGAACATTTGATATAAGTACAATATACACTAGACCTTTAAGATTTTAATCAATTTTGGCTTGACATTTGCCTTTTGAAAAGCATAACTTTACCTTGCAACATCGCCTTCACTTGCGGGTGGAGATGCTTCCATATATAAATACTGTCCAACATTAGTTTCTGAAATAAACAGTTTGAGTTGAATTATAACTATTACCCGTATAGGTTAAATTGTACAGTCCCTTATTCACTCTAAAATGACAAGGAATGACTAGATATAGTAATAATATTGGACGAAACTTGTACTGATTGTATATAGAAAACGAGGTTCTACAAAGTAAGCAGACAGATAAAGCCGAAATGTTTTGATTCTGTTAGAGTGTTTGAGTAATTACACTGCCAATTTAAAATGCCCTTTTATGGAGAATTTTGATGGATTAATCAAAAATGTATTGGACAGAGTTTAATAGCATAAGAAAGGATAAAACATTAACAGAGAATGGTAAAGAGAAGTATTTAAGCAACTTAAGCCATTCAAAAAGATTGAAAGCAATCGTGCTGCACTGCTCAACCATACCGTGGCTCAAATATATCGAGAACAGGGAATAAACTAACACACGTAAAAAAGAGACTGGAAGGGACAGGAAACCGTTTCGATCCAAAATTTTGGAAATTCTCTCAAGAATGAAGAATGTCTGAAGAATTTCATTAAAAATAGTAATTTGATTGCACTCGTCCAAACGACTGCATCGTTGAACCTGTCCTGGTTACTATTTCATTATTATAATGGGGAAATATTGATCATCATCTGAGTTTACAAAGAATTAATAAGACGAATTAGGCTTGCTTAGAAGAAAAATCGTAACCGATTAACGTACGAAGTGTATGGTCCGTATATGGCCCAGTATCATGTGTAGGCGTTTCACCATGATGTATGCGCCAGTCAAGGTCATCATCCGGGTCGTGTTTAAACATGCATAGACTGCCATCTTCAAATGTGCATGGCCAGCTCACGGTAGCAACTAAAATACATTGTTTGAACTGTTTAAGGGCCAGTTTAATGTCCCAACAAATATACACTGTGCAAACATATACATCACTGGCACGAACAGAAACGGAATAGGGAGGTTGGGTTCCCGGTTGGGTTACAGGTTTTTATAAAGAGAACCTGTGCGAGAGCGTGTAATATTTCGAACCCTTGGAATAACTGCCCCGCTCTCAATAACGCAAATGCGGGTAGGTAGGTAGTTACCAGTTTCACCACCAGGTGGCTCGCTCGGGCCAGATAGCATGGCGGGTATAGTAGAAAGTTCCCTTTAACTTAAATTGCATCTGTTTTAGTGGTTCAATTTTCATATAGCCCTTATGTATCGAATAGTTATGCAAATTAAAGTATGTCCAGTAAAGGAAAACGTTATATGTCCAATACAAGAAAAGATATTTTACTTTTTGTGACTTTGTAATATGGGGGGAATCAACCCGAACTAGAAGTCACATTTTCAAAAAAGATTAGATTTTCAAAGTTGATAAACAATTTTCGAAACCATATTTTTGATGTATTTTTACATGTAGATTTCAAATATGACATCACTTTGACTGAATTTTGAATATTAAATGACGTAAATCAAGATCATTTCTACTCGCATGTAGTCTATTAATTTGTCTAGGGACACAATTACACGTATTATCCGTATACTCAATTAGCCAAGTAAACAACACAAATGATAGAACTAATTCACTGAGTGCCATAGTTCTACATGGGCCACTAATGCCAATGGCCTTGGCCCATTGTCGGACATTGTGAAATGATAGTATTGATAAATAAAACATAACCTTTAAAAAAGTACCATAGTTCTACACGTTCGCGTACAAGTTATTTTAAAAAATTCCCTAATGCTTCTGACGTTTAACACTATGCGCAAATGGAATTCTGTGCTAATGACACATTCTGAAGGTTCCATCCACGTCAATAGGGATAAGACCCGCGTGTACCTGTACTACCTTTGAGCTACAAGACTATACCATTCCTAATGTTCAGAGGACTCAACCACATACTTTACTGTACGTAGACATGCTTATGAGCAAAGACCTTCCAGTTGGAGTATTTGATTATGACAAACATGTTGATAAGCTATTTGAAGAAAGTAAACATATAGAATGATACCTGGGTCGGAATTGCAGCCATATATTCTAATATCATCTACTACAATATCTCCTTCTTCATTATGTTTGCCTCCTCTACCCTCAAACATTATTCTGAATGAATTACGGGCTCCAAGCATAAGTGTTTTGAACTGCCATTCTTCGTTAGTGTCTTTTGAGTCGCCCCAGACCATGTCCTCATTACCAGAACTATCAACGACATACACATTCAATACACCTGAAAAAGAGCGTCAGGGATGTAAATTTCTGCCTATAAATGTAGGATCAATGCCACCCGATCAGCCCCACAGTACCGGAAATATCCAACAGGTTTAAATTGAATACACCTGGCGCCACGAATGTATATGACTTGGTGTATATGAAAGTATATGACTTGAGAGAACGATCAGTTACAAAACGTTAAAACCACTCCTGTACATCTAAGAAATTACAAAACAGTATCAAATCACCCGATTTCTATACACTTTATAATTGCTGATGTGTGCAATATACAAATCATCATAGTTACTGTCAATTACCTCATTTAAATAATTATTATTTGTATAAATACTATAGTATTAAACTCACTGGCCTGGTCCGTTCTTCCAAACAGTCGGTACCAGAAATCCATACAGAAGAGAGTAGGCTCCTGACCATCCCAGTTTACTTGAGTAAGCATGCGTGCTATGTCATACTTATCGGAATGGTCTTTCCTTCTGTACCACATGTAGAAGCCACTTTCTATACCATAGGTATGGTCAGTATCAGTGCCCGTTTTATCCCATTTTTCAGTTTCACCTTAAATTTTATGAATGAATTATTTAACCAATAATAATGTTTCCAATAATATACAAACGATATGTCCCTTAATCGTTTGGGACACGATTTAATGGTTTCTGAATAATGAGGAAGATTATTTGAAACACTGTTACTCAGTATGGAAGGCCATTATACTTATTTGTTTATGACACATAAACAAAAACGAAAACAATCCCTTTCTGGGTACACATTTATAAGGAATTGGAAATTTATAAAATTGTCGTCAGGTTTATAGCGATTTGTGAGATAGCAATACATATTTGGAACACACTTATAAGGGATAAAAAATTGTTGTCGTTTTTTTAGAGAAACACTACCACCATCTATGGGTCATTGGCAGAGCCAGGGTTATGGCAATCACCTGGTCCCGGTGTGAAAGAAATTATGGTCCCCCAGGGATTATGGTCCCCCCTTTTAAAGGCCCTTATTGGCCCTGATTGTGTATATGATAATAAGGGAAAGAGCACAAAGAGGTCACCATATAAATCAATGGAGAGTAGGACCGTAAACTAATAGGACCTCCTACCCTTTTACACCGGTTCGATTCCCGGTTTCGACAATTTTTTGTTGTGTAAGTCAGGGTAGTTCTGAGTTTAATACGGTTATTTTAGAAGATTGTGGAGTGTACAAAGTATTATTCGTGTGATACAATAGGGTAATTGCAATCGCTTGGTCCTGGTTCGATTCCCGGTTCAGACAAAATCGTTTTTGTATGTAATCCATGGTAATATTGAGTGTTGTGCAATTATCATAATATACTGTTGCGTCTACACAGCAGTTTGTGTTTTGATGCACATAAAAACATAGGGGTTGTCCTAAGAGAATTTTCTGGTTCCGTCTCTGAGGGCAAAATATGTAAATTATGAAATATACCAATGAGTATTGCTCGCCAAAATATGCTGTTGACGCTTATCCCAATGATGCTGGTAGAAAACAAAAACAATTGCAATAAATATTTTAACAGTGATCTACTTCAAGAATGAACAATGCATATTAAATAGAAATGATTTCTGTTTTTTCTAACACTTACAAAAGTTATTGGTTTATTATCCATTGTTATGTTGTGTTTCCATGGTGCATTGCAAAACGAGGGTAACAAACGCACTAAACAACCCGTGACCGACTTAATGCCTTGTCATTCAACGTCTTCAATTTAATTCAGATTAATAGCCATTTCAAATTACATGAATTTGAACAAATTAGGGCATGTGCTTATTGACATTTAAAAGGGTTACTCGTAATCCTTATACAAAAAAACAAGAGACGATCACATAACAACAACAGTAGACAGTTAAGGTTGTTTTCAGTGTAACACCAATATTATAAACAAGTTTATATTCTCTTTTTAACAAAAGAGTGGTATCGATATGGTGAACTTTTTGAACACGCGTTTCTCTTATACCAGTCATCAAAACATTCTGAAAATTTTACACATCGTCAATTTAATGGTCATCTTTTGGATGATATCATTATAATTTGAAATATATTATATACTTTTCTCTATATTGTTTTAGAAAACACATCAGACACTTCTTTTGTTCTTGGTATCATATGTTCGGAATGAAATGAAACATCTATCAAAACCTCATTGGAACAAAACGACACAAACACAACGTGTTTAGGTCTCTCAATATTGTAATTGTACTAAGGAAAGTTTGGTTGATTTAAAAAAAAAGTATCCTGTTAATGAAATAAAAGGATTATCTTGATTTTTATCTATTTTGGTGGGTTTTGTTTTAAGTTTTTGCATATTTTTTTGTAACGGTTATAAAAATATATATCAATAATTTTTGCATTAAATTGTTGCCAATCAGTCAATATTGCATAAAGGACCATGTTTTTTACAAAATGTTTTCATTGATTGGTTTAAGAGAAAAACATTGTTGAATTCAGTTCACCATATCGATACCTATCCTTTCTTACAAGCATGCCAGCATTCGAAGTTATTCTTCAGTTAGATTGGTCAAATGCCGTGTCCCGATTGGATGATTCAAATAAAATTGAAATGCATAATTACCACTTTTCCTATGCCATTCTGTGACACCATTCTGCTCTGTGAGTCCACAGATATCTGACTCAAAGTCACATGTAAATTCTGAAAGAAAACATTTTATAAGAAGTATCAAGCAGATATCTCTAATAACATGGTAATGTGTCGTACTTTTTTCATTTTAATATGCTATATGATGTTAATATTATGTTAAACGTCCTTTTGGGAGGCTAAATCGTAGGGGGATATGAAAAAACGGACAAATTAAGATACACCCTTTATTTATTGTATTTCGTCTTTGATTTTAGAGTATTCAACATTTTAAATAACGTAGCAAATACATAAATAACTGCCAATAAAATGGCAAAAACGTTAGGTTCGTGTGTTATACTTCAATTGACATTTGAAACAATTACAAGTATATGTTGGGCACTTAAAAGTACTGGTTCATTACAAAAGTTCTGAATATGAAAGGTTTGATGATTTTCTAAATAGCCAACCCAAACAGGCTTTTACAAGCAATTCAGAAGGGACTTGAAAAACTTATGGCGGGGTATTATGTCTTAAATATCATACAATCAAAAACGTTTACAAACCTTCGGGTTGGCACTTCAGAGGTTCTTCAGACCAGGAACCATCAGATTGGCATTCGATTTCTTCAAAACCTCCTTCTTTAGAAAACATGTTCAAACATTCTAGCTGTATGATGGTACCGGCTGTGTATTGTTGTTGCGCAGATACCACGCCTGCATTGATAGCATCCGGGTCTTGGCAAAACACCGGCGCGTCGGTTGGAGTTGTAGGTGTCGTTTGGGTTGAGGGAGTGGTAGGCGTGCTTTGAGATGTGGGGCTAGTTGGAGATGTGGAGCTATTTTGAGAAGTGGTGCTACTTTGAGTCGATGGAGTGGTTTCAGTTGTGTTTGATGTGTCTGTAATATAGTACGTAAAATAGATTGACATCGATGCTTTAAGGAATAAATAATGATAGGCCATTCAATATGGTGAAATTCAGCACGAGTTGGACAGAATGTTGTACAAAGCACGAACCGAAGGTGAGTGCATTTGTACTAACATTCTGTCCAACGAGTGCTGAATTTCACCATATTGAATGGCCTATCATTATTTATTCCGATTCAAACATAAAAATTAGTAAAAGCCGTGTCTGTGGAACGGGCATGAAGGAAGAATACGCATGCTGTCAAGATTCTGAAGTCGGCCGGAAAAATTTTAGAATTTGTTTGGGCTGTTCTATTTATACGGTGTATGCAAACATGGAGTGTTGATAAAATAGTTACAGTAGTTACGGAGGGAGTAAAAAAGAACAGCTATCCCCGGACAGAGCCCCAGATGTGCAGCTGAGATGTGACGTCACTCAAAACAATTCAAATTGCAGATTGAATAGAGCATGGTCGTGCATCTATGGAGAATTAGAGAACGTTCTATATTGGCTATGCTGCATTCTGATTGGTTGGGAAATTCGAATAGAGCACGGTCATGTTTGAATTTGTATTTTACATGATATGTTGATCTTTTTTTTTATCCTGACCAGGAATAAATAATGTACACTAAGGCCCTCATCTCCTTGAATTTGACGTTAAGAGAAGTGAAGAAATTGGACCATTTCGTCATAGTTACGCATAGGATGAAAAAATTGAGAGCACCGCTGCACCGTTACCGAAAATGGCCGAGCGGAATTACTATACGATTCTCCCGTTAGCATTGGTTATCTTCGGTTGCGATCCAACAATCGTTATCCCATGAAAAAGTCAAACTTACCTGGACAAACCTTTTCAAATACAATTTCCAATATGGTTGCGTTAGCAAGCGTTATAGAAGTATCACCAAAGTTGACGAAATCGCATGTATAATACAATCCATCAAACATTGCAAACGAGCATTCAGAATCCAGATAACACGATCTAGAACAAGAGTAGGGCTTGTCTATGCTTGCTTGCCTATGTGTAGTAGATGTGATTTGTTTAGGTACTTCATCAAGCAAATGACATTGACCTAAAACAAGAGATACACAAAATTGAAGAAACATGTATGTCTTGAACTGGACTGGAATAAAGAACAGAATCAATAGGCTTGTATTGGAGGTGGTGAAGAACCATGGTATTTCTGAATGTACCTTCTGTTTTCTCGCACATATATTGCAGTGCCATGGAACAAGTTTCGAGGGACCATTTAAAGCCATCATTCGTATCCGCCTTCACACAGTAGTTTTCAAGAGGGTTTTGAGCCAATGCCCAGTTCTCAAATTCCGGGGCTGTTCCATTATTCCACCCAAGACTTCCATGAATGGTTGGATCATTGGAGAGACCAATCCACACATACCTATATTTGGTCATATTAAGTGGACATATAAGGAACGTTAAAGTGTAGAGCATTTCAGAGGGAATCACAAACGATAACCTAACATTCAATAATTACGAATGATTCTTTGATAACTTTACTATAAGTGTGTCATCTGCTCTTTTCTCATTTTTCAAATACACTCTAACTAAACGAAGTAAAACATAAATGACAAAACAAAATATACAGTATCTTTTATCTGCTCAGTATTTTTAATTTAAAGAATGGGTATCGATATGGCGAAATTTTTGAACACACGTTTCTCTTAAACCAGTCATCAAAAAATTCTGAAAATCTTACAAATTGCCAATTCCATCTTTTGAATGGTAACAATATAATTTGAAATAGACATACATACTTTCATCTATATTGTTTTAAAAAACACATCAAACACTTGTTTTGTTCTTGGTATCATGTTTCCAGTATCATGTATCATGTATCTATTTTGGGGGAATTTTGTTTTAATTTTTTGAATACTTTTTTAAAATAAACCAAAAATTCCTTTGTATAACTTTAATATTGAGAGGTCCAAAAATATGTTGTATATGCTATTTTGTTCCAACAAGGTTCGGAAAGACATTTTATTTCATTCTCAAGAATTGGTAGAAAGGAGCAAAAACAATTGCACTAAAAAAACAATTATTTTAAACAAAAACAGTTATGTAAAATATTTCTAAATAATTTTCGCATTAAATTGTTGTCATTCACTCAACATTACATAAAATACCATGTTTTTTACAGAATGTTTCCAATGATTGGTTTAAGAGAAAAACATCGATGAATCCAGTTCTCCATATCGATACCTATCCTTTCTCATACTTCTGCTGTTGGTATTCTTGGTTCCTTTATTTATTTATTTTTTTATTTCCATTTACTTATTGATGCAGTATCTATTCTATCCATGACTTATATCTAAACAACTCTAAATCATGACCAACCTTCGTCCGATTGGCAATTTTATGGTTTTCTACGTACCCATTAGAATTTGGAGGTGGATTATGTTGCAAAAATATATTTTCATCCTCGATATCGATTTCGGCAAGCTGTCCGCCCAATGTTTCGCATTGATTTTGAGCATCGGTATATGTCCTGGTATCTGAGGGCTCAGATATCCAGTAACATGTCTCGTATGGGTCGTAATAGGAGACACCCTTGTCTGTAAATAAGAATTTTATTTAGCTATAACAACAAAAACAACAACAAACATATAAGACACCCATAAACATAATTAAAGGTAAGCTAAAATCACCATTGATCGCATATGGATATATAAGCAGAAGTACCAACGGGAAAGGACCAAAAGTTGTAATGGAACTTAGCAATGGAACTCATTCTGGAGTATTTTAAATTAGGAATTGATTTCAGTGTACAGTACTTTCAAGTTTAGTCTTGACAGGAAAGAGTATTGCCTCATCCATTTGTAATCAAAGACATTTATGAATAAGTTCGTTAGAAGCCACTTAATTCTGGGGGGATATTTTAGTAAAGCTAAGTTCACACCAACGGCGCTTTGGTGGCGCTTTAATGCGACGTGCAAAGCCGCTTCGCCACATTAAAGCGCCATCAAAGCGCCGTTGGTGTGAACTTCGCTTTTAAGATATATATCATTGAGACAATTCAATTTTGGGGAAACATTTTCTAACTAGATAACGTAATAACAATCATGTCTGCATAATTTTCTTCTATTAAGACTTTTGACTTAGTTAAGAAAGTGTACTGATATTTGTGATGTGCCCAATATCCCACACATATTATACAATATATGTTTGTATAAGGTATATAAATGCTTTTTCTTAATGCGACATTTTTTGGCTTATTTTCAAACGATTTTTTAATTTCTTCAACACATTGGTATTTTCATTTCATTAGTGTAAATTATTACTTAACAATTAATGTGCGGGACAACTAAGATTTTATTTGAAATGAATTCACAATTGGTTCAACAAAAAGTCCTCCAAGATATATGTTTTGAAATTAAATTGAAATGTGCGAATTTTGATAACATTGATACACAATGCGATTTAAACTTTAGACATTTAAGTTAATAACATCTTATTATTCTTTCTTTAGACAAATGATACATTGAAAGTCTGCCCAAATAGCAAATCACATTTTAGCAAGGGTCTGTGTAAACTGCATGAAACCAATAAGGGCCAGAGTTACTCGAAGCCTGGTTGCAGTTTGCACACTTCGTTTTAGCAAAAGAACTTGTTGATAGCATCGACATCTCCAATCAAAATCTTAATGTGATATCGATCAAATCAGAAATATTGTAATCATATTATCAGAAAAACACACATTACACATACTATAGGTATATAATATAAGAGCCATTCTATATGATCTTCAATAATGTTTGATTTAATCATAGATTTTGTTTTTTCAAACATTGCCAAACATTCTTATATGCAATTATTGTAAATAGCTACTTACTATTTTGCGTATTTGCAAAGAACCAATAATTGAACTCATCAAGGCTGGTATTTGTAGTGCAAGACACGTGTGACCAACCATCACATTGCAATGTTTTGAAGTTGTAATTGTATGATGTACAATTGCCATCGTTCGTGCATGCCTGGTCACAATCTGAGAGACTTGCGTAGGTCCCTGTTGCAGCTTCCACTGGGCCCTGACCTTGACATTGAGTCATGAGGCCTCTTGAGAGGGAATCTGTCATATCTCCTGAAATGATAAAAAAGGTCAAATATGTAAACAACTAAATAATTTAATTAAATCTTTCAAAAGTTATAATAGTCTATCTTTATATCCACTTTGACAGTTTTTGGGAAGGTTTTAGGGACCGTGTTCAAACATGAATAGTTGTGAAAATTACGATTACTTTCACCATTTTTATATGAACAGTTATACAGAAGGTGTCCAAATGTCAATAGTTTTGAAAATGACAATAATTTACCCCTCCCCCTCCCATTTCGTTCAAGCCGTTGCGTTTTACAAAATAATAACCACATGAATGATTAATATTGGCAAACAACAAAAGGGAATAATATGTTTTGTCCTTTGTAGTCGACTCTAGTTTAAAGGCGGTCATGTTGGCAGTTCATAGACAAATACAAGAATACTAAACAGGGGAAATAATGAGAAAGAGAGAAAAACATTATCTATAATTCATACATTCAATCAGACAATTTCGAAACCGAAAAACGAGTAGATAAACCGGTTTGATTTTGTCACGTATTTAACAAATTCATGGATTTTTCCCCGACACTTCTCTGCCAGGAAATTATATTTTTCTGTTATCGCAGTAGTTATAGCTAAAGATATAAGACCACGTTTTGTCATCTGACCATTTTTGCCGTTAGTGTTATGAAAAATACGTTTCCCGGATTAGGGTTAAGATATATCATTGTATGATTTTCAAAATAGCACACATTTTGATTTCTTTGGAAACTTTGTCGCACTAATAAATTCTGCGCCAATACATAAACAATTTAAGAAAAAAAGTAATTAAACTCGCAATTCGGTGCTTTGGGCAAATTGAAAGAGCACCAAGAATGTTAAATGAATGCCTTTAACTTCAACAATGTCCATGTTTAGCTGAATAAAACAAGGACTATTTGAAGTACTATGCAATAAAAATGAAATAATAGGAATCAGCTAAATTGTTTCCTCTATGTAATAGAGTTCTTATAGAATATAACCTCAAAAAGCTCATTCCAAGAGTAAAACTATTTGTGTTTGTGTATGAATCAAATCACTGCCATTTTAATGTTTTCATAACAAGTTAGTACACAATTCAAAACGGTATTTCAGGTAAGATCCATATTTCGGCAATGTGGGGTTTCAAAAGCATAGAGTCCACCATGCATTGATTATCATGCAAACTATTACTTACTTGCCCAATGTTTCTCATAGCATGAACAGCTGCTGGAAGGACAACCTCCAATTACATCTAAAAGATAAACATAATACATTTTTATTATTCTGAAAACAAAAAGCAACATTAAGAAATCAAAATATTCGTGCAGATGATGAAGAAGTGAATGATATTAAAATCTAGTTCAGTGTTTTTAAGAAGGTGACTACGACATATTATTAGATCTTACTTGTAAATAAATCAATAATTATATTTCATTGATTAAATTCTGAACATCTGTTTTATTTGTGTTCACTTCACGAGTTAAATTTAATTTACAGTCATCATTTTTTCTCATTACAGTTATGATCCAAATCGTAATGCTACAAAACCACTGGTTTGGAATAAATGCTTCGAAACATTTTTATGTCTCAAACATTATCTCATTTAATGTTCCATACACTTTAAAACAATTATTTAAATATCAATCATCAATCTTTTTTGAAAAAATGTTAAGAAATGATTATCATGCTATTGTTTTTACTACCACAAGGTATACAGTACATCAGGTGTTATATGTATTACGTCATATTTTAGTCCATTCGCTCACATTTTGAAAAACTACTGAGGAATAAAGAAGCATGTTTAGTTTTTCACAAACTAGATTTTATAAGTAGGTAATTCATTTTGACGTTATATATAATCATCAATTAATACTTTTATAATGAATCCCTTGGTCTCGGGTCACAATGCTGACGTACTCTATTCATTATGTTAAAAAGGTGATCAATATACTATTCAAGTGACTCATCTCAGTAAACATTTAGAGTCATGTCAACACACTTACAGAAAACAAATTTACAGTAAAGGAGACACTCAAGATTATAAATCCTGAACATTTTACACACGAATACTGAAAATGTTTACATCACGAAGATTATTATTACGCTATTAAAAATGCGTAAAGCTTCTAGGAACCAGCCACATTCCTTGAAAGGATGGGACTAGATTTTCGTCATTCTTCTGTAACCGTCCAAAATCGTTATCCTTTATTTTATATCAATGACCGCCGCTTAATTTATACCTATAAAAAGTCCCGTGATAATACAGGCTATCCTTTCTTCTTGATTTTTAAAAGTGCGTTGGATTCCTTATCAACAGTTGTCATAGCGACCATATCTTAGACACATGCTCGCCATGTACAATTTTAATTTTATCACATAACTCAATTTGTTTGAGAATAGGGCGTCACTTGAACCAAATAGTAATAAACATTCAACTTACCCCCTCCGAGATGGTACACGATGTATAGGTACTGTAATTAGAAATTAACATTGGAGTTAGTTATTTGGGGAGTCATAAAGGTGCTGTAGAATCTTTATTGATTTTATTAATACAATAGTAATTCAACTAATAGTATAGTTACAAAAAGTTTAATCAACCAATTGTGGTTGTGATGCATTTTTCCTATGGGGAAACTCACTCATCGCAGTCTTAAAGGCCGAATGCATTAACATAAATAAAATAATAAAACCAATATACTTACTAGATATAAGTTTGAGTAACGATTCATTTCTTTTTCTTACTTTCAGCAGCTATAATTTTCCAATTTCATCATTTTCTTAGGACAATAAGCAGTAATCCACATTATGAAAAAATATATTCTAATCTGTCATGGTATGCTACAAATTTCGTTTATAACATTCCTTTATAAACTGACATATGGCGCGATGAAAAAAAAGTTGGGAAGAATTAGAAAAGGCTCATTAATATTTTAACAAGCAAAAATTTCGGTTTTGACAACGATTAAATATTGAATGGCTTATTCTTCATTTGCCTATCAACATTTAAATATTTATTTGTTCTTTTGTATTTGTTGTTACTTTGCTAAGCAACAGAAATTGTTCTCTGAAAGAACGTTGGTACACTAAATTATGATATTTTCAAAACATCTGTCTAAAATATAATTGTCCAAAATGAAATATGGTAATGGTATAATGGTAATTTTGGTTTTAATTATCGTCAAACAGATTTAACAGACTCTATTATCCAATTAAGTATTTTTACAATTTTAATATTGAGCATATAAAAGCACATGTATTATATATCTTTATCATTCCCACAGAGTATGGTCCTTTTACATAGCATTTAGAAACGACCATATTGTGATACCAATTACGTTTTCAATCAGATGAATTATATATATGGGGCTTTCAATACAATTCTTTCACCATATTTTCTGAATACAATATTCTAATTTCCGAGTCGTTGTGTACAAAACATGACATTATTTTAAAGATTAACACATTTTTAATTTTGTAGTGTTTTTATTCATTTTTATTTTTATTGTATAGTTACAGATATCAAAACTTTACGAGACAAGTACATGTATTAGAACACGAATTATGTGACGGATACTTCCAACAAACATGTATATATATATACAGCAGACATGTATACACAATAAACATGTTTAAAAAATTAAAACACATTAAAGTAGTTCCGTACTCTCACAAAATATAACAATTCGAGGAAATGTCATGAACACCTTTCAATCAAAACATTTCGATTTTGAACTATGTAGTCTATGTATCATAATGTGTAAACATTCATATAAAAATATGCAAATATCAACCGTTTCAATAATAATCGGCAATGATAACCATGCACCTTACAAAAACTGCTATATACGGATTTACCCTAAAATCAAAATATTGCTGATGCTATTGAAATGTCAAAGCAATATTAATATAAAATTTACAAATAGATGTCAACCCACATCCAGTTCACAATGGCACTTATAATTAAGCACCCGAGTTCTCTTTCGCATCGTTTCTATGATACAGTTTCGAAATACTTTTTTCAAGTAAATTAAACCTTAATAAATATCAAGAAACCACGGTACAATATAATCTGGAGAATCCATAACAGTGCAATAAACCCGTGGTCTTTTAAACTTAAAGGAGTTTCAATCATATATTTTAAAAAAAAATTCTAACTAAAATAATAAAAACAATAAAAATACACAAATGTTTTGTATTACTAAAACATTTGTTGATCTACTTTGCACTGTAATCGTTATTTTCTTTTTCAGAGTTAAATGGTCGTCATGGTAAATGGCATGGGAATTGTCTTAGAAGACACTCATAGTACTTATATTCTTTAACAAATAATCATATTTGTTATAGGCTTATTACCCATATTGGGCATGAAATGGGAATTTTCTAGCAATATATGCTGATACCAAAAATTACATCCCATACATAAACATATTGATTTAATGCTTATTACCAATGCTAGACTTATAGCAATATCAGGCTTAGACGTGTATGAAACGTGTATACCCTAAATACTTGAACACTCATTTTGAGTCTCATCACACCATTCTGTCTTCAACTAGAAAACATTATAGAAGGCCATGATTTTTCATGATCCTCGTACACTACACCCCAATATATAATCAGATCTTGTGGGTCCTCTTACATCAGATTTTGATCGTTATCGTTAGAGTTAACACTCACAAATGAACTATGTGAGTTATTTTCACAATTTACACATGTCAAAACACATGCTTTGCTTTCAGACCCAACAGTTTTTCCACATATATGCTGTCTCTTTTCATCCGAACTTAAGTCTGTATTCTCTTTCTGTACTTTATAATTTTGCGTAGATTGTATTGACTTGCCTTGTCTCGTATCAAAGATGTCAAATCCGTCTGGAAATAGATATTAAAACATTCATTAGGACAGGTCGTGGGGAGAAACTGTAACAATCGGTTGTATTGACATTCATTATTAAACAGGATTTCAGCCTTATGTGTAGCCTTGCCCAAGTCGGTATTTTTTACTTATCTGATTTTGAATTGTTAGGTTATAATAGAAATCAAGATAAGTAAAAGAGACCGACTTGTGCAAGGCTCGATGTACATAACGTGTGGGGACAAATAGTATGAGTGCATCTCGAACTACCTCAGGAGATGAATGGATATTTTTGTATCCAACCCGCTGCCGAAGAGGTCCAAGTAATACATATCCCGATCGTTTTTTGGGAAACAATAGGGAGTTTAAGCTTGCATACAAAATCAAAACGCCAACCTAAACGCATGATCAATTGCCCATACAAAAGCATCGCTTAAATATTTTCCGTTCACGTTTAGGTTGTGAAAAACGTTGCTAGCTTAAACTCCCTTTTGTATCTAAAACCGCCAAAAAAGCACACAGAAACAGTATCATGTAAAAGATATAATCGAACCTTCAAAATGAATATCCATGATTGACATACTACTGTTAAGCACATCACATCTGAATTTCTAAACGAAAAAGACTAGATCAGATAGAACTTTGCAATATTAAGCGCAAAAGCCAAAGGGAAGGGTGACTGAAATCTTTAAAGAAACCCAACAAGAAAAGCAAACTGTAAGAGTAAATCTGTCATAAGAAAAGTAGACCCTATATATCCCCAAACCATGATCTAACGTGAAAAGAAACAATGTCTAACACCCCCTCCCCCCTCCAATCGAGAACCAATATCACAATCCAGGACAAGAACACCAAGGGACATTTCATTCATACTGAAGTCATTACAATACATGTTGAAGAAAAATTGATATCCAATACTCATAACACCAAAATGGTTGTAGATACTAGTACTCATAAAAGATTATTTTAATTTTTACTCATAAAAGAGTATTGAGTCTCAAATGATGTGGGATAGATAAAATCCAGTCTCGAAGTCCATAATTTAGGCAATTCAGAGGGTCAGCATCCGTTCGCAAAGCCATCATCATAATCCATAAAACAACAATTTACAATGGTCATCAGGAGAAAACTATGGCTGGTTTCGATCCCTATTTCTCAACCATTAATGCCATAGCCGGGATCCACCTCAAAAGATGCCAAGTGAAAAAATTGTGAGTTCATTGCCAATTTATTAGACCATTCCTACATCCTTCAGCATCTCAAGTGGTAAAATTTGAAATTTCGAAATTAATGACTTGTACTTTTCAGCAAAGCTCAGAAAGGATTTCTTAAGTTTTTACAAGTATAACCTTGACCTAACAGTTTGATCACTAAAATATGGTGTCTTGATTTGAAATCTAGATATTTTGAACACGCCCTGCTAGAATATAATTGATCGGTCATTGTGATGTTCTATTTAATTATTCATAGTCAACAGGCAATCATCAACATTCAAAGTTTTTTGTTGCTTTGCATAGTTCCTTTTTTTGTTTTCCAGGTAGTAACAAGTACCTCATGATTGATATATCAATTAAAAGATCGAAGGAACATCTGACACTTCCTTACGATCCATAATATAATACAATTTCTGATTTCTGATTGATTATAGATGATTAGAACTGAGATGTTTTCATTTGGTTGGAAGAGAACTGTTGCTAATTAGTAAATTTTATTTTTATAAAATGGTTAAAATAAATATGACATTGAATCCTGTATATCATGTATAAGAGGCGTTACAAAATCTCACAGACTTAAAAACGTGAAAAACGTATTTATAAGACTGCGAATGCTTACCTTAAATATGATTTTGAATTTTGGAACCTGATGAGGTAGAATGTACCTCTGTAAGTATGGAATACACCTGTTATGTACGGTCGGCTCTGGATATAGGGTTTATCCATCGGCTAATACTAACGTGGTACTGTGGTCCCTCGGGAGATACACATATGTCCATTGGGATAAACCCTGTATCCAAACCTCCCATGACATAACCCTTATATGTTGCATAACTGTGATTGCCTTCATATGGGCTCTATATTTTCTTTAAGGTATGACAAAAAACTGATTTGATAACTATTGCGGACACCTTACATAATCCTGAATAAATACTTACAATCGGGGGCTGGAATGATTCTAAACGAACAGAAGTGGACAGTCATTCGAATAAGGTACCAATACGCTCGTCTATAGGTGCTTTTCATTACTCCATACACAAGTGGGTTGACGGCAACACTCATATTTACAATTCTGGAGGACCAGAATTCAGCAACAGGAAGTGACGTAGCATATTTGAGACTCAACATCTTGGTCACCTGAAAAAAGAGTAGTTTTATTGATGTCAGTTAATTTCTGATGTCATAATTTTGACAGAAATGGTTGTCCCTTCAGGATTAATTGTCTCATGGATACAATATATTCCATAGAACGATTAATGGTAGGGTGAAAGGTCTCATCAATGCTTTTCAATTACTGCCTTGGAACTATATTCCAAGGAACCTTATTTCCGGGTATAAAATGTTTACAGTTTTATAAATGATTACGGTTACATCAGGAATGTTCTTGACGTATGTTGTATTACATATATTTTGGTTATATTATAATGCGCTAATGTGTTTCGGATTGCATTTTAATGGGTGCTGTTTAATATTAGTGTATCCCTTTTGTGTTGTAATTACACCCGACTTGCTGAGACTTTTCAATAGTGCTTTTTATAAATAGTTAATGATCGGATTATTGTTTCTGAGTGCCATTCAATTTGTCCAACGCTGGTGTTTCAATTATCAATGTTGCAATGTTGAATCATCTAGCTATACCAGAACAAGTGTAAACCTGATTCTATTAATACAAGTATTTATATTTGTCGGAAGGGAAATACTACTTATAACAAGTGTTACGAACGTGGCAAGAGAATATCTTACATCACTATCACTTAAACAAACCCACGATATTCTAGGCAATGATTTTACGTCCAGAAAAATAATTTTTCCACCCCTTCTTTCTTTCTTCCCCTAATATTGAAATATGTATACACACGTGTTAAAGGAAAATGGAACAAAGGCAGCAAGAAAAACCCGAGACTAACATAATCTAGAGTATTTTAGTCTCAGAAAAAACAAAGCAAGAAAAGGAAAAAAAGTATACGAGTACACGATTAGTTAAGTTTAAGAATCAATATCACGAGCGATAAATACCAGTTCAGGGGACATAACATTCAGGCTAAAGTCAGTGCACTGCATATTGAATATTCAAAGCGAACTTAAATAATTATTAGAGAAAACGACTTCTAATCATTCTATGCGAAGTTTTTACCCAAAACCTGAAGGAGTTGCCTAGTTTTAATTATAACAACTTTGTTAAAACAAGGGCTAGTAAAATCAAGATTATGCTTTTTGGAGATTGTGAACTTTCAGATGAATGTTACAAAGAAATTACCGATTTATCAGCAAAGGAGCTCGTAGGTTATCGCAAACAATTTCAGAAGGTTATATCTTGGATTATGACTATTTTCTGACAATGAAGACAGGTTTATCTTTTAGATCAATTCAGTATCTCAAAGAAATTATATACAGTAATAATAAAGTCAAACAAACTCGGATATATTTAACTAGCAATCAACACATCAACACACTTTTTCAAAGATGTTGACCCTATTTTCACCAAAAATACAATCATTTTTTACAATGTTTAATGCATTACTAATCTTTATTTTGATGTATCAAATAGTTCTTGAAAGAAAAACTTAATTGCTTTAAGATAAGTGTTCCCCATGTTATTTCTCCATTGAAAAATGTCATGCTATCCCATGGTTTCAGTTCATTTTGGTCATCAAAATTCAGTATCTTTAAAGTCACAGGAGCAATTAACTTTTCCTTTTAGGAAATCGAACATGTCTCAAAGCACATTCTAATTATGCATTCAACAGTATAATAAAAGGTTGCATTTTTGGTGAAAATCAGGTCAACATTTTTGAAAAAGTATGTTGATTGGTCCATTGCCCCTTCAATATCACTTAGGTCTGATTAACTAAATTATCATCGTATATACTTTTCTTGAAGATAATGAATGGACCTAAAAGATACACCCATGTTCATGATCAGATAATATTCATAATTCAAGTTAGAATCGTTTGAATTTGTTTGCGATAACCTACGTGCTCCTTTTATTGACAAAATCATCTGATACTTTATACAAATACATGATCGTAAGGACAAAGTTCATCCCATCTTCATCAATCATTATCACTCGTTCCTTACATTTCCCATAAGGACGATGCAACACTTATAATAGACAGGACACATGTTTTGAGAACCGATATATATGTTAATTTGCAAAGGACGATTCTCGGTTTGGAGAACGAAGTTCATCAATCTAAATGAGCATTATCCCTGCTTCGGACAAATTTGATTTTTTTTACATAATATAGATTTGAATGTCTTCTTTTGAATAGTCATAATTTAATTTGGGTAATATTTATAGATTTTTCGCAAAAAAATATTAGCGCAGTACACTATTGAACTTCTTTCCCCAAATCGAGACTTGTATTTTATTGAATCGGTCTAATTGAGCATTATCCCTGCTTCAGACCAATTTGTTATTTTTACATCTTGTAGATTTAAATGTCCTCTTTTGAATATTCATAGTTTAATTTGGGTAATATTTCTATATTTTTCATGAAAAAAATTATTAGCCCAGGAGACTATTCTCCAAACCGAGAATCGTCCTTTTATATAAGGGAGGCCAATAATGTAATGTTTTTCCTAGGCCTTCCTAGTATTTTAACAAGTGTAAAATCATATTGCAAATAAATAAGACCTAACCTTAAAAAATATTCTAAGCTGCAATGCATACAGATTCAAAAATCATAGCGACACTACGACCTTTGTGGCATCGGAACTATTTCAAACTACTTATAAAGATGGTGTCAAATCACCAACAGTCGTGGAAAAACGAGGTTAATTTCATTATGCCCTGCCCCCCCCCCCCTTCTCTCCTCATCCGATGACATTTTAAAATGTTGATTTCTCTTTCGTTTGAATATTAAAATATCAACATTTTTCGCTAATAAAACCATCGTTCACCATCACCCCTAACGAAACTTGTTTTTTCCACAACTGTTGAAAACCCTCACGAAACTCATATTCCACAACTGTTGAAAACCCTAACGAAACTCATTCTGATACTCATAGCATCTTTCTGTTTCACTTGAAACATGCTCTGATATTATGAGGCATATTCTGTGATCTGAGCACATCAGATGGGAAAAGTTATAACTGTCAATAAGTGTGATAGTTATCATGTAATCATTTAGCTAATGTCAATACATTACATAATAGGCATTGTATTTAACAGCAGATATTAGCACAGGTACGTGTACACAAGTTTAATGACCCCAATTAAATGAAATATGAGTTGGGATGAAAGATCTAAAAATCCCCAATTTTGGGCTCTCCTGGATCGCCAAATCAAGCTCATTATATCATGGCATCTCAGGGCTGAGAAGAAATGAGATGTCATGGTATATCATGATGAACGAAACTCGTTATTCGACAACTGTTGAAAACCCTAACGGAACTCGATATTCCACAACTGTTGTAAACCCTAACGGAACTCGTTATTCCACAATTGATGAAAACCCTAGCCTTGCCCCAAGTCGGTCTCTTTTACTTATCTTGATTTCTATTATAATTCAAGATCAGATAAAGTAAAAAATACCGACTTGGGGCAAGGCTATGAAAACCCTAACGAAACTCGTTATTGCACGAATGTTGAAAATTGGGCACTTTCTCTTCTATTTTCAGGTGCAGTGAATGCCTTATTTCCACGTGAGAAGAATGAATCATAAAAGTATACTAAATAGACCTTCCGGGACGGTATAACCCTTTCACAACCTTAACAAATGAGTCTAATTACAGAAACGCCGAAGAGCAAAAACATACAATAAACCATATTTAGTGCAATTAATCAACGGCTTTGCAAGCAGTGCCGGCTAATTATCGCTTGTAATATTGACTTTTAGAGGTGTTATTCAGGTTTGTACACTCCCCACTATTAGTTTGTTAACTGGAATTACTATTTTGGTCACTTGCCTCGTCTGTTTATGTTGAGCAATTTAAGATAAATCCATCAAATTTGTCATAAATTTCTGAACAATTACAATTAAGGAACGCAGTGAGGATTCATTGTTGACAGTCTTAGATATGCTATCGAATTAGAGTTTGCCAAACTTATGGAGGGGAGTATACATTTCATGCTATATTGCAACACTTAATGATAAATTGGAAAGGATTAAGAGCATTGCACGATACAAGAAAATAAAATATTTACCCATGTGAAAAAACTCAATAGCCCAGGATTTGTCCATGTAATAGGCCAATGGAAAGTAAGGTTGAGCTCATTAGTACTTTTCCCCTGGCCTATATTTATGTAAAAATTAATATTTACTGTAAAAATCATTTAGTGTTGATGTGTGATTGATCATGCTTCTTGGATCAACATAGCGTCAATAAGAAGTTCAAACTTAACTTGGATAATCATCCAGGCCCGTAGCCAGAGGGGGTTTGCCCCCCCCCCCTGGCCAAAATTTCTTTCAAAATAATGCAGTTTTTCACCATTTTGACTATTTTTTGAGTGATTTTTGGCCAAATTTGCCAAAGTGAACCACCTGTCATCTATAGCTATATATGTATCCTTTATGAAAAAACGAGTCAAGGAGGAATGTAACCAATAGCTACATTTAGGCCATACCTTGGTCACATTTGCTGCGATTCATCGGCCGGCGCCCGGCCGATGGAGTATTTTGTTCCAAACTGAATACAATTTTGATCAAAACACTCACAAAACACTCAAAACACTCGGCCGGGCGCCGGCTGATGAATCGGAGCAAATGTGACCCAGGCATTAGGTGATGATCCCTTAGAATTATTCTGTATTCTCTGTATTGCTACTGAGATTGTCCCCGCCTCCGTACCATTATTTTCGGTATTGCTATGGAGATGATCAATGGGGAAAATCTCAGTAGCAATACAGATTGGTACAGCACAAGAACTGACCGATCAGAGGGCATCATTTTCCAGATCATACGATAAAGCAAATAAACGAACGTATTTTGATTGCACTTGAATCTATCGAGAAAATGATTGTTGGGTTATGCTGTAGTATAGTCGATCGCGTGAAGTAGTTTGTAATCTAGCATGTCTACACGACGAGACGTAAGTGAGTTAAGTAAAATAGAGGAGATAAATAAATCACATTATTGTTTATCATTTTCAGAAAGATATCATATCTTATGAAATAATGTAGAAATAAGTCCATA